AAAGAGAAAAAGCCGGACATTTATTCTTTGTTGAGAGCACGGATTGGGAAAGTAAAGTGCCGTTTATATTCCGGTCCGCGGTCTCTTCTAATACTTCGCTGCCTCGCTATTCGCGCGGAAAATGAGGCTGACGTTCGCTCGGCGTCTCTCTGCATCCCTGGGCGTCGGTCAGAAATCGGTATAGACCAAGACCTACGTGGCTAAAACGCTGAAGCGAACAGGATCTCCGCGATCAAGGCTGAGCAACGCTAGCGTTGTGCCTGAAGATAATGAAGAAGAGTGAGATAATAAAGAAAAAAGCCCTAAATGTCAAACTTGTTTCTCACAGGGCTGCTGGCGACGAGATGTTTCGGTGGCTTCCTCTTTGTAATTCCCATCTGTGACGTAGCGACCAGGATTATTACCGCCGAATTCAGAAACCTCACTCAAACTACACTCAAACTTAAGGGCCCCTCCACTTCCTCGAGGAAGGCACGAGGGCCGGCGCTGGCCAATCGCGACGGTGGATCCGTCCTCGCGATTGGCCAGCGCCGGCCCTCGCGCCTTCCTCGAGGAAGTGGAGGGGCCCTTAAGTTTGAGTGTAGTTTGAGTGAGGTCTCTGAATTCGGCGGTTAATAGCCAGCGACAATTCGATTTTGCGTGTAAAAAGTGCGGTGGAAGCTCGCAGTCCTCGCCTCGTTAAACCAACACCGCCGAATCTGACAGCCTGCCATTCCTCCAAGAAGCATTCAAACATTCCAGTAATAAACGTAGAATGGATCATACTCGAGACATCATAGTGAGCGCTTGCGCAATGCTGGAAGGCCGACCACAGCGACGCGATCGCTCGCTTCTTCCAGCTGCCGAAAGCAGTCTCACATTTCGTATCTCATGCGTGTCACTATCCCGTGGTACGATTGATACCATCTGAAAGCTGACAGCGGCGCCACAACGGCAAAGACAAGTTAATTCTTCGGTCATTGGGTTCGAAATAACACGGAGAAAGCAAGAGATATTAAAAAAAAAAAAATATATATATATATATATATATATATAGGGTTGTGTTTTCGTTTACGGCTGAACAGTACCTAAAGAGATTGTAATAAAATGCAGAATGCGCCCTTTTTTTTCATTTTCTCTTTTTCTAGTCCTAGCTCGCGCTGCTTCCAGCTCACAGATTATGTTGTGCTCTCTAGACTTGGATCGCGGAACTGCTCTCGCCCGCACGACCTTCTAGCCCAGCGTGTCATGAGCATCATACCTTTAGTTGGAGCAGAGGAGGAGGAAAAAAACCTTATTAAAAGCCAAAAACTACGGCTTCGTGAAAAAGAGCGCTTGCTCCGCCACGGCCCATTGGAGGTCCGCAGAGTCCGAGCTGAGCCAAGCAATCGGATTAGAAACAGTCCTTTAAGTCGCCGAAAGCGTGTACGCGCGTCGGACGCGTAAAGGCGTACATTTCGAAGAACGATGCCGTGCAGTGCGGAACGGAGGAATCACGTTTGCTGAGGCAACATCTCCCATCGCCCTTTTCTCGCTCTTCGTAATACGCGGTTGGGAACCAGGGCTATTCCGCTGTCTTCGGTCTCGAAACCGATCTTGCACTGACCGTTTCATAACGTCCTTCTGATTTTTCGAGCAAGTGTTCTCGTAAGCAAACGACTCAAGGACACAACTTTTCTTTTGTACTTTTGGGATTGAATTTCAGCCATTCGTTGTTGAGAAATCTCGGTAAATGGGTCGCCTCGCTGGCAGCGATATCAGCGTTGACTGCGGTTTGTGTTTTCCATCTGCAACGAGTCTCTCCATGTCATTTCTGTGGCGATACTATAGAAGAAAGGAGCAAACGACAAAGAAAGAAGAAAAACAAACACACGTATACAGTTCAAGATAGGGTGACGCAAGTTCGATGTCGACCGCCTGCAACAACAGGGAACACACAAAACGATAACTGGAGCTCGGTTAAGCTGCTTCCCAAACTCCAATACACAAAAAAAAAAAAAAAACATTTTGTTTTAAAAGCGCAGTCGCGAGAACTTAGCTTCGCTAAGTGCTTTGTTTCCACGAAACCTCGCTCAATGAAAGCAGCCTCTAAAACCCCGCGGTTGTGCCTCACACAGCGTTCCACATGAGTCTTTAATACTTTAAACTTATTCTCAGAAGTCTTGAGCTGCGTCTTGGGTAGGCACGATCGCGGCCGCGTGGCTTTAGAGTGTGCTTTCCAAGCGCTCAGTGGAACTTCTTTAAAAAGTGCCTTCACTCCGTTCCCTTTGAAGCCAAGAGGGCAGCGGAGGCGGCAAACGCGAGGCTAGCCCGCGCTCCTCGTTAAAAAAAGAGCCGAGTCACAAAACGTGATGCACATTATCCCCCTTGATAACTTAACACCCCAAATAGATTTTTTGCCGAATTACCCAAGAACCAAAAATAATGCAAGGAAAGCGTCTTCTGCAAAAACTGATCGAAAAAAAAAAAGGCACTTTGCACGCGCGTTTTACGGTCGCTTTATTTTGTTTATTTACTTCGAGTTTTTTGTATAAGGAAGGAGAGCACGTGTAGTGCGTTTACCTACGTTCCCAACATTCTCTTTGATGCTTGGGGACTTTAGCGAAAGGTTTATTTAATTCGGTAGTCCACTCAAGTTCAACTTATGATGGACCGCGACGGCTAGGAGGTATCGAAGCCAATCCAGTGCCGTTTAAGTGTCACGTGACCTTAGGGAGGGGCGCCGCAACGCGCAGTGCGCGTGTATATCACGTGGCACGTTCACGGCGCTGGATTTGTGCGCCTGTCTCGTAGCGTCCACTGCGGCCCGTCCTAAGCTGAAACGGTGTATAACACGGGGAAAAGCTGAAGGGGAGGAGGAGATGAAATAGTGCGGTGGCTGCCTTTGTGTCTACACATTGTTTACCTCCACTCAGAGCGAACAAGAGTGTTGTGTCTTCTTTGTTATATTTTCATATAACCGGATAACTTCGTCTTCGAAGAAAGGGTGAAAGCACAGGCAAGCTGGTGAAGAACTTCCATCGTAAACCGGAGACACAAAAAAATTTAAAAAAAAAGAACGGACAAAACAACAAGTCTCAAACACAGCTTCTAGTTTATTTGAACACCTCCGCTCTTATATATACACCACAACCCTCCTCTCCAATGTCGAAACACCTCCTCTCCACTCCATCAACGACATCTCAAACTGAACCAATGACACATGTACCTCCCTTCCTTTCATACCAACCAAAAACTGACCCAGACGACCTCCTTTCAAATCCATGATAACGGGCATCTCAAACAACAAACCCTGCTAACGTTGAAACTTCGTCTTCTTCTATGCTGTGTGTCCATTCATTTACTACCATTTCATCGTCATCATCATTTTGAATAATGAGTCTCGTGAGAGCAGCGCAGGTGACCGGACGTTCCTTCCCAACCGACCGGGTCCACCTAAAGCCCCTTCATGTTTTAAAAGTAGCGCAATGTTCGTCGATGCACGAGGCACGTGCAACGAGCAGCCCTTGGGAAGATCATGGCGGCACAGCGCAGCACTGAGATAGATTTCAGACGCCACGTTCTTCCCAAGAGTGGCTCGGGGCACGTGTCTCGACATTTCCACAACAATGAATGGCGCCACTTTTGCCAGGATAAAGGGGCTTTAGGTCCACCGAGGACTCCACAAAAAGCATCGTCTACTCCTCGTGCTGGGACTGGCGTTCGAACACCGCCAGACTCTGCGCGAGCTATGCGGACCGCAAGTTCGTCTGCTTCTTGCGCAGGGGTTCCGGTGACGTCAGAATGCCGAGTTCTAAATGGCTCTGATTGGAAGGAGAGTGGACAGACCTCGTTGCCAGCTGCACCGAGGCAGGGGCAAATCCAGAACTCCATTCTTCTTCTTTCTTTTTTTTTGGGGGGGGGGGGAGCGGAAAATTTGTAAAGATGATATTCTCCCATTCTTTCGTGCTCACTGGGTGGTCCACCCATGTCAAATTGCCCTACGAGAAAGGGGGAGGGGGGGGGGGTCGACATCGTTTGGGGGGGGGGGGGGGGCAGCCGCCCCCGTCGCCCCCCCCCCCCCCCCCCCTTGGATCCCTGCCTGCCCCGAGGTCTACCCACTGTTCTTCCAATGAAGTCAATCGGAGCTCGGCGTTGTTCCGGCGTCACCGCAACCCCCCGCGCAACAAGGAGACGAACTGCGCTCCGCATTGGTGACGTGTACGATCGAAAGCGTCGCTGTGGTCGGCCTTCCACGATTGGCCGAATGCCGACTATGACGTCAGCAAAGGATTTCTCATCGACGGAAATAACAGTAATGAAAGAACTTCGATTTTGGCGGCGTTGGTATTGTTGGTTTCAAAGCGCAATGATTTCAGGCTACCACCATGCTAATTACAAATACAAACACCGTCAAACTTGTTCGCAAGGTAATGACGTCACGAGAAGAAACCAAAGAAGGGCGCTAACAAAATATCTCGCCGCTAATAGCCACTGACAGCTTTCATAACTACGCTTCTTGCTTCGTGATTGGTTCTTCGGCGATCTTATCGGCTGCTCTCGCAGTCTCGTTTGCTGCGGAGCGACGTTAGAGAGTTTTAGTAGATTGTTCCGATGACTCCGATAAAGATGCCCGATACTCTGGCATCGCATCGTTTTCGGAAATATCGGAGGTATCAGAAATGATGTTCTTAAATCACAAATAAAAGGTTCAGAAGGACACGCCACGCCGTGCGTTCCTTAAAGTGTCAGTAGAGAGTTTTAGTAGATCGTTCCCATGACTCCGATAACGATATCCAGATACTTCGCCACCGCCTCCCTTGCGCATGCATAGTATCGTTATCGGGACTATCGGAGGTATCGGAACGATCTACTAAAACTCTCTAATGACCTCAGCTTTCGCGTCTTCCCACTATCCTTTCAGCTTGACGCTCTGGTGCCACCGCACGCTCTCGCACCTCCCCCTCTCCTTCAGTTTCTCTCCGTACATTCGCCGGACGTTCAAGGCACCGAGTGATCGGCAGTCGCGTGTTGTGGCGCAGGGCAACGCCGGCGTGGAGCAGGCGGTGCTCATGGTGCTGGTCACGGTGTCCGTTTGCAGCCTGGCCGTGCTGGCGGGCATCGGCGTCTGCGAACGCTGCCACCTGGACAGCGGCGGCATCCACGTGCTCCTCTCCCACATCCTCGGGGCGCGCGTGGGCGGGGCCGCCTCGCTCATCTACTGCTTCGGACAGGTGACCAAGCTGACTCGTCTGGCTTCTTCGCGCATAATATACGGCCGAGCCGACTGACTGCACTCGAGTAAAAGCTACAGGCCAAAGGAGCACAGCACGCTCCTGGAAGCGCTAAATGCCACTGGGCACCCGCAGAAATGCCTGCACGTGTACACTGCGTGGCCCTATTTAACGTGAATTCAAAAAGCGGTCTTCTGGGAAACTGAAGTGTAGCGGCCGACGTTTCTGTAAAAGACTGGCGAAAAATCGGCTGCGACTTGCTTCCGGGAAGAGTCCTATTCAAGCTCTTTCTGCCGCTTTAGACGACATTTATGGTTTGAATAATTAGCATGAACACGACCACGAGTGGCCGTGACACGACGAAGGCGCACGGACGCTTTCGTATTTGCAAAAATATTCCAAAAGCCGGGAATCATAATGATCCAAAAAACTGCTCCGACTTTACCCAACAAGATTAACAATTTAATCAAACGTTTCGTCTCCCATGCGCGAAACATCGTCAGTGAAACCTTCAAGCATCCCTGCTTGAAGGTTTCACTGACGATGTTTCCCGCATGGGAGACGAAACGTTTGATTAAATTGTTAATCTTGTTGGGTAAAGTCAGAGCAGTTCTTTCGTATTTTTACGTGTACAGTTTGGACTTGTAGTACCCACATAATTACTTTTTCTTTTCCTTAGCACAGCAGTTTTGATGAAAGGTCCGAGAGGAAAATGGAGAAACCGAAAATTTTGTTTTTGCTAGTTGTGTTCCTCTCTGTATGCGTCCACTACTTCTTGATGCTGTAGAAAGACCCGTCAATTGTTTTTAGTTAATCGGTGAGAAGGAAAAATATATGAGCCTCAAATTTATCATGCAGTTCCAGCATCAAAAGGCCGCCCGCCCGCTCTACCAATGGAGCTGCGTGACAATTTTGAGCGTAATACCATAAAACCCTCCCCACTGGCGAAGCTGATTAAAGGAAGGTCAAGGAAGAAGTTACATTCAGGCGCTGGTATGAGTATTCATAATGCCTCGGCTGGTGCTGCACACATACAAGCACGTGCAGGTTGCGTGTCAAGTTACTTTGCTAGGCTCGACTTTACACACACTTGCTCGCAAGAGCATACATGGAAGCAGCTGGATGTGCATTCGCGTATGCATGCACATCGTTGAAACGTTAAATTGCTAAGGCCCATGTTTCACGAGTTGGCAATAGGGTGTCCTGACAAAAATCAACATAACGTGCCTGGTAACAACATACCAATACTATAGACATTAGAGCTCGGGTGCATGTTTACCTACAGCGAAACAAAATACCGCTATATATATATATATATATATATATATATATATATATATATCAAAAACAATATACGTGATCTTAAAAAAGAAAAAAAAAAGTACAAATCATCTTTAGGAATACCGTGTACTCGTTAACAAGAAAATGTCAACTACAATTTTGTAGTCGTCCGTCTGTTTTTTTGCGTAATTGGGGTGTGTTCGGATCTTCGGTATAGCGCAAATAACACAAAATAAATCGTTACAGTTTTCCTAAGCTTTTTTTTTTTTATTATTATTTTAAGTGATCAGAATAAAATGTTTTCGAGTTGTTTTTCGATTATAGGTAAATTTGAGTCGTGGTTCGGGTGACTTCACCTAGAATTCAAAAGACGCGGCGCAGGTATATACACGTGAAATGAACCGAAAGAAAACGTGCTAGGCTAAAAAGGGGTAAAAACGGCTTTCAACTAGGGCCGCAAGACTGCGTATAGGAGCCCATTCACTCGTTCGTCGTCGTTACGGCGAAGCGCAGACGACCAGCAGACAGTGCTGTCTGGGGCTTGCAGGCGGTCAGCAGCGCTCTTCACGTGATGGGCTTTGCCGAGTCCATGGGGCAGCTGCTCAAGTTCCACGAAGACCCCTGGATGCAGAGGGGCATCGCCACGGCACTGGTCGTCCTTCTGCTCGGTGAGGGACGTTGTTGTCTTGCCCTTTGACGGTCGTCGCCGTACATGTACGGCGAAGATTACACAATTCAAAGTTTCCGCCTAAACACAAACCCGAGCACACCCAACACTAGCTAAAACAACCAAGACCGGCAAACAACCACCTCTTCCCCCATGGAACGTCATCGCAGTCGGATGGCGTCAACTTCGCGATGGACCTTTCTGGAAACGTCAGCGCTAAGGGGCATTATGGGAAATGTGAGAGTGTCGCACCTTTTAGCCAAGCCAAGTCTAGCCTAGTCGAGCCTTTGCTTGCTACTTGGTGGCCCACGCTACCGCCCGAACTGCAGCACCATTCTTAATCCATTCATTTACATGCGAGCTAACGGTCTTTAAACGTTGTTAAAACAAGCTTTTTTTTTTTTTTTTTTTTTTTTTTTTTGGGGGGGGGGGGGGGGGACGAAGGAAAACAAAATGGACCAACTAGCTCCAGCTGACTCCCTTAGAAAATTAGTAATTAAAAAAAAAAAACATGTTCGATACGTGAGTGATATCTCGCCTTTAGGCGAGTGACCCACTTTTAATTGCCCATTCAAAAAAGAACGGTGACCCATCCAGAACTGGAGCCACTAAATCAGCTGCGCTAAGAGTATCGGCACTCTGTTCGCCAAAGGCGTTGTGGGCGCCGTTATTTTGGTGCTTGCAGAGCACACGCAACTGCCGGTCGTCGTGATTCAAAAGTGCGACTTCCTCAGCATTAAGTTCGGTGCTAGGAAGCTCATGTAATATTACTTGCTCTGTCGCAAACTGTTTAAACATTTGTGGAGGACGGAAAAGCGTTCACTGCGATTTCGGATAAAGCTTCAGATAACTGGCAACCAGAATTTTAAACCACAATATGGGCAAGTGCCGTTACTCTGAAGCGTAGCTTGTTTAGTGACACTATCCAAAAGGATGGCTCATCAAAAAACAGGGAACAGACAATGCGTCAAAAAAACAGAAAAAAAAAAACAGACGCATTTACGAGAATACGTTTAATCATAGCCTCCTGTATACTTATAAAGCCTGGCAGTTCGATGCCGGAGCCATAGAGTGCCGGGTCGCAGATTTAGAGCAAGAAGATCTGGTAGCACAGACCATTTCTCGGGGAGCCTGTAGTCAGCGCACAGCTTTTGCAGCGGCGAGGACCCAAAACATGGTTTTCAAAGCGTACGAGAAAAGAAGCAGTAGCCCGAGGAACGCAAGAAGAACGAGCGGACATTCCATCGCTCGGGACAAGTGTGTTTCGGCGTCTCGCCGCAGCGGGGCGCCCGTTACATGCCTCTTGTCTGCCGCTCTACCTTTTCACTTCCGGCGGCCACGTCTCGTGGCGATCTGCCACGCTTTGTCAGTATAGAGGAGGCTATAATTCAATTGAAATGTGATAGAGGGGTTCTCACCTCATGTGAGCAACGCACCGCAGCCCATGGCGCTGCAAATATTGCCATTTGCCGTACACAGGGACCCAACGCTAACGTCGGCAACGTGGTCCTCGCAGGCAGTGCGGCGGTAGCAGCAGACGACGGAGCAGCGACCCTCACTGTTTCCATAATGCCTCACGTGCGCCGTTTGAGGGCGCGCGCTACTTCCAAGAAAGGTCCATTAGACCCGAGCCTGATGGCGAGCGTCCTTCGGCGCCTTCATTGGACACGAGGCCCCGCCGAACGCCGAGAGTGCTCGAGTTCAATCTGTGTCTGCGACTCTGCGCCGGGGCGCAATATTTGAGGGCCGTGTTTAGAGCGCATGCTCAGAACGAGCTCAAATTAACAGGCTGCTAAGACCGACCTTCTTGATGGTGCGGAATATACATTTCAAAAGAACTGTGGAAGCTTGCCGTCAGCACGCACTCAGCAGTGGCGCACACAGCCAACACCTCCTAACGCCTCCTAGACAGCTTTCAAAGCCTGCGCGTCACGTGACATGACGTCACGTCCCGGAGGCCTGCACGGGCGCTGATTGGATGCGAGTACCGCGTCAGCGTTCGCGTGGGACTCGTTCCCTATCATAGTCCCCAGGCTTCATAAAATCTCCCACAAATTGAAAAAAAAAAAAAAAGCAAACCGGCAAAACGTTTAGATTTTGTGCTCGGCACCCAATAAGGCTTATTCCTTATGCCGCAGGATCAGTCAGACACAAGCGGACAAGATATGTGTGACATCCGGCACAGAACAAAATATGTTCCGTGCCAAAAAGGAGTCGTTTACAGCATACCCAGAGCCGTAAATGTAGAGAGTTTGGCCATTCGTTGGGAAGTATAGGAGACAAATGAGGAGGCGCCATTGGCCGAAAGCGGGCTGGGCGTGTTCCAGGGCGTCTTCGGAAATTCGAATGTGACCAACCAGAAGCCGAAAATAATACCCTGGCGGTGGTCGCGAGAAACAAACCTGATAACTGCATTGGAGTAACTCTCAATGGCTGAAAATATGGTACACGTGATGTTTCAATCACGTTAATCCAAAATGATGGTGGAAGAGTGCGACTAGCGGAACGATCGACATGATCCGTACGCCAAGCGCCCAGGGCCGGGAATCTGCCGTCCGAACGTCCGTGCAAAACAGAGTTGCGCGGTGCATTCGTTTCTTACATCTTTCTGCATGATCATGATCAAAACAACACGTGCACCCTATTTTCAACCCCGAAGAGTTACTACACTTCACTCTTACGCGTTTATTAAAACCATATACGAACATAGACTTTTGATCAGAACTGTTTGCCGCTACCACCGCTAGGGGATTCTTTTCGGCTTCTGGTTGGTCAAGAGCGCATGCCAAGCCCTCTTTCCGACTCTGCCGCACGCCCTGACTCTGCCCGCACCTCCCATTGACCAAACTCTCTCAATACACGGCTCTGAGCATACCGTTAACGTGTGGACGATGCTATATTGGACAGACCGGGAGATGCATAAACGACCGTGCACGTGAACATGTGGCCAACGATAAAAATTTCGCGGGACCACGACACCTCGCTGCCCATTGTCGAACTTGCAAATGCAAACCAAAGCTTGAGCCTGTTAGCATCATAGGGCACCATAAAAACCAGCTTGCAAGGGAGATGTTGGAGGCCTTGGCAACGAAGGAGAAAACAGTGTGAGCTCCGCCTCAATAACCCTGCAACCTCAAGAAAAACTCTTTCTGAAGGGCGCCCTTCGTGCTCAGTATAAATAGAAACAAACAAAAAAAAAACAAAAAAACACGGTTTAAAAAAAAATATACGCATAAGATCTAGTAGAAGAGGAGGACGATTTATTAAAATAGTTGGTAGCCCAGCGATTGGTTGTATTTTCTGTTTCTCCTTCCTTCATTGTTCAGCTGGTTCCACCCGTGGAGGAAGATCGTTTAAGTCGGGAAAAAGCAGATTCAGTTTTTGGCGGTCGAAAACATATCAGAATGTGTTGAGCCAGGGGGTTAAGACAATACGTCTCCGCTGCTCTATTACAAGCAAAAACCAAAAGATATACGTTTTTTGTTTGTTTGTTTTTTCTTTAAGGGAACTTTTTTTTTTGTTTTTTTTTGCTTAGGCTTGCAAAAAGCCCATGCAAAAAAAAAAAAAAAAAAGAAAACAGGGCTTAATTGAATTATGTTTCTGGTGGAGAGATTCTCCAGATTAAGAAGTAAAGCAAGGATGCCTACTAGGATGCCTACCAAGGGTGGGGAGCATTTGTGAAACGTGTTGGTAACTCAAGTTGAAGTCAAGTTTGAGTAGAAGAGCACATCCGAAGGTTCAGTGCGGTGCTAATGAAGGCGCAAGCGCAATAGTGTATATTACGACCACCGTATTTTTGCACGGGCACTCACACAAGAATATTTTTTTTTCTACTGGTATTTGGCGAATTTACACTCATCAACCAAGTGAACACTTTGAAATCAACGCCTTCCGCAGGAACCACACCAGTGGAAAATGGGCACTACGGGTGAGTTTCGTTTACTAACACTCACACCTGTTCGCATGGTCTCACAAAAACGACAAACACTGCTGGAAGACGACTTTGTTTGTAAACTTCTATTTGCCTAAAACTCATGAACGGAAAAAGAAAAAAAAAGTTGGTGTACGTGCGGTAGAACGGAAGGCTGCTCAAATTTTAAGAAAGCTTACCTTTCTTTTTTTACTTTTCTTTTTTTTTTATCTGTAGCGGGACAAACATTAATGTTTCTCGCGTTATTTTAGGGTCGCAGGCGACAAAACATGTGGAGCTCAGACGTTATGAACCCGCGCAGCACTGAACGAGAGAATTGTGGTAAAAGTCAGCTCTAAACGAGAGAATTGCGGGTCACCAGAGACATCCTCACGAAATTACCGGTACGCCTGCGCAGGCATCAACGTGGCCGGAGTCAAGTGGGTGGTTCGGCTGCAGTTCGCGCTGCTGATCATCTTGCTCATGGCAGCGCTAGACTTCGCCGTAGGAACCTTCATCCGCTACGATGCAGGTGAGAGACGATGTGGCAGCCCCTATATGAAGGTTTGCCGTGCTCGACCCAATTTACGCGAGTTAACGAAGTTAACATCAACCGAGATTCAAGCTTACTATGTCGGCATTATCACACTTTCCCCTACATGCATGTTGTTAAAAATGAAAGATTAGCTTTTTCCAAACGCTAATCTTTCCAAAGCTAGTCTTTTCCAAAAGCTAATGTTTCATGCGATCGATTCGTCGCTTTGAACCCCTGGAAGAGCGCTTATTCCACTGTACTTCGCTGTTAAGCAGGCAAAGCACGCTTTACAGGGCGCATTCTCAAATCATTGGGGGGGGGGGGGGGGGGGGGGGGGGGGGGGGGATCGGTGGCCGAGTGGGCTAGCGCACACGGCCACCGATGGCTCGGTATGAATGCCACGTGCTCCGAGCCATCGGTGCTCCGAGCCACCGATGGCTCGGAGCACGTGGAGCGAAAGCTCATGCCGCGCCAACATCACAAAAAGACCTCCCGCCACGCAGAGCACGGGGTGACCGGCTACTCCGCGTCCACGTTTCGGAACAACAGCGCTCCGCGCTACGAAGACCACCAGAACTGGTTCACCGTTTTCGGCGTCTTCTTTCCGGCCATGACGGGCGTGTTCGCGGGCATCAACATGAGCGACGACCTGAGGAACCCCGTCCAGGACGTGCCCGTGGGCACCATGGCTGCCGTCGGCACTTGGTACGAGTATGCACGCCTTTGACGTCACGCTGCCGCGGTGATGGTGCTGCCGCGCGCAGTGGCCACACCTGGTTTGGGCCAACACTGAGCTGTTTGTGAGCAGCGTGTTGGTCTATAGAATCAATAACCACGGGTTCGCTTGCATCTCTAATAGACCGGTCTCGCCAAGCGTTCGGCGCATGCGTGACGCCGTCGCAACTTTAGTACACAGGAGGCAGTCGGCAGCAACGTTGGTCGCCAGTTCACCAGACGACTTGTGCCGCCTCGCGCTCTGCACGCGCAGAACAGCCCTGAAGTTGTCGCACGTGCAGAGACTACCTGCATGCATCACGGCAGCGTCGACGTATCGAAACTAGCTAGTGAGATCGGTGTATTGATCCATACCAGCGATGATCGCAAGCATCCTCAAAACGCCAAGGATATAATTCCGTTGTGGAACTTCCTGTACGAGCTCGACGTCCTCATTGGTACTTCGGAGTGAGCTTTGACGTTGATTTGAACTCGACAAGATCAGCTGGCACTAATCTTGTCGAGCCATTACCTCTCAAAAACAAATCAAGCAAGCGGCACACGCAGATGGTTCACTTCCACCATTTTCTCGCAGTCTGTTCCTGTACCTCGTCTTCGTACTTGGTCTGGCCAGCACCTGCCAACGCTGGGCGCTCACCACCGACTACCTCATCGCTGAGAAGGTGGGCGACTTTCCTTTCAATAAACATTGAAAGGTAGACCGTCGAAAACCGATGTCCGGGCCACGACCTCTATTATAAGTCGTGGTCCGGGCACACATGAGGGAATTATACAATAACATCCATCCACACGGCTTGAGCAAGGGAATCGGTGACCACTGTTCCTTTTTTCGCGCAGGCTTCCGCCATCGGAGTGATGGTGCTGTCGGGGCTGTACATCTCCTCCATGTCGGCCTGCTTGGGGGCGCTGTACCTGACGCCTCGTATCGTGCAGAGCATGGCCAACGACGGCATTCTGCCTTTCAGCAGGCAGCTGAGCCTCGGAGTGCGTAGAACCCAGTCTACCATACACACAGACTCCAGAGAAAGCATAAACATTTTGTTGTTCCTTGGAACAAGAGCAGACAAGGATACGAGAAAACATAGCAAACATATCTTCTCGTCTTTAGTTGCCAAAGTGGGAGTCTTACGGGCTTTAGCTTCGAGAAGACCGCACTTCTGACCTTTCTTCGTTCCTGTGTCATTCACTCGGGTGTTCAGTCTAGTCACCGACAGGATGAACACGATAGGCCATCTCTTTCTGATGCCTCCAGCATGCGCCCGTTGCCTTCCGTCATACATCGGCTGCGCGTGTACGCTCGGGGCTCACAAGACGCCTAAAGCGTTGCCGAAGAAAGGAACCTCGCGCTGGAGGCTTCAGCCATCGGAGTGAACGACCATTTTGGACGTAGAACGGCATCACAGTTTACGCGTCGTATCAGTGAAATATATGTCGGTCATGACAACAACAATCAATTTAACTTTTGCTTTGCTTCAACATGTTTTCAGTATGTCATCTGCAACTTGACCGGGTGCTCCTTCCTCCCGACAGAAAGGCCCCAACCGCGTGCCGGTGGTCGCCCTGGTGCTGTTCGCCCTGGTCACCTTCCTGTTCATCCTGGTGGGTCAGGTGAACACGCTGGCGCCCATCGTGACCATCCCGTTCCTGCTGACATACGCGTGCGTAGAGTACGCCTACTTCTCTATGGCCATGACGTACGACATGCAGCGGAGGCGGAACGAGCGCTTCAGGCAGCAGGCCTGCCTCATCCGGGCACAAGCGGCCGACACGCACAAATCTCCGACGGCGTCAAGCTACGGCGCCCTCGCAGACGCAAAGGTTAGGCTGCCTGTAAAAACAAATTAACAGCCCAAATTAAAAAAGGAAAAAGGAAAAAAAAAAAAAAAGAGATGCCGAATTTGTTGTTGTCGCCACGCTGCTTCTCAACGAAGTGCGTTAGCACTTAGCGTAGGGGTTCCGACTCGGCGAAGGATGGGAATCCCAACCACGCAACTGTCCACATAATGTTTGTCTTCGGAGAGCCCGTACGCTCTCCAGGGCGTCGGCGGTTTCGGATGCACAGTGATGCAACTGCAGAAATGTGACTTGGAGCAATTTTTGAAGCATTTGAAAATCAGCTTTGGAGCACTTTGATACACCTAAGAATAGCACTTTGGAGCACATAAACGTGAAATTTGGAGCCCTTTCGAGCACCTAATTATCACTTTCAAAGCTACTTTTGAGTATCCAGTTATGACATCTTATGATCACCTAAATGGTAAGATAATTTTAAAGTCTTCAAATCTCTCACCAAAGTTTTTTTCTTTTTTTTCTCTGTAGACAGTATAAGTTACTTTGTTCTTTCATAGCCATCCAATGTGAGGGATTACTAAAGTTATTTGTTATAAAAAAATTGACATCTGTTGATACAATTTCCTGTCCATTGTTTATTTTGAACACAAAAACCCACCAAAGGCCAACCCTTAAAGCTTACGCAATTTTTTGTTTAGGCCCGCCAGTTTAGTCACATACAGAAAGGCTTGTGTTTGCCTCGGTGAAAAGCACAGCCGCTGACCTTCACTTTGCCGTGGCTTAGGATGCACCTGACTAAAATAAGTGGCGCAAGTCGCCGCCCAATCCAGCCAGTCACGCGATTCGGTGCAATATGGCGGATCTTTATCAGGATAACGCAGGAGTGGAATCACTGGATGCAGTCACCAGAGCTTCCCTCGATCGCCGCCCACGATCCGCATACTGGTGCTTTTGAAGAGCCAATATTTCTTCCCGGGAGTCGGCAGTTTCACGCAAACGGCGTCGTCGCTTTGCCTCGGTTTTACGCTGTCGCGTACGTTATGCCACGGCCGCTCGATCCCTTCCTCTCCCGCGGCACATCCTTGGTCTTTGGAAGCGTGAAAGGAGACTCTTTGCCTCCTACATAAGAGGGAAAATGGCCGTAACGAGCGAATGAACGGAGCGAGAACACGGCGGGAACCGTGCCGTGCTGTCCAGTCGTCCAAATCAATGCAGACCAGTCAAAACCACGCCTCCAAACTAAAGACGGCTGCATGCACCAAAGCACTAAATGCTTACTCATTTAAAATGAAAGAAGCGTGAGGTGCTTGGAAGACAACAGGGCTTTTGTAACCAAATAAAATAAGCCACAATCGCCAATCGCCGTTTCTGTCCAAAATGGCGCTCGTTGTCGGGGTCAAACGCCAAAGTTTAGAAACTTATCGTTAACTGATTCAAGGGTTACAAGCGATTTTCGAAAATTTTCAATGAGAAAATGACGGCCAACGAAGCTCGCGAATATTTGAATTTGTTTAAATCTTCTGAGGCAAGTTCTGAAACTTGGATCTGGTCTTAATCTTTAGCGTTACATTGGGTGGAAACCAGGTGCCCAGCAATGCACAAACTATATCGGTCGTGAAAAAAAGAAAAAAGAGCATGGTTTATTTTCTAGCCGAAAACACGGCACATATACACTGAAACATTTTAGGCTCCTTTACGATCGTTTAGCTGTCCACATGACGAGCCTGACAGTAACTGTACACATTTGCTTCTGCTTCCCAAGGGACCGGCGGGTGACCTGGACCAGTTGTTTCCAGAGCGCGTGCACGACCAGACTGGGGTGTCTGCCCGGGACCACAGCACCGTGAGCAGCACGGAGTCGCCCGTCACCTCTCCGGACGAGCACAGCTCGATTCGAAGTGCCGAGAGCAGGGAATCAAACCCTTCCAAGGGCACAGACTCGGGTGCCACCGACCGAAGCTACCTCCTCGGAAAAGGTAGGAATGCCGTCAGGGTCTGCTTCGTTTCAAACATGTTTCGTGGACAACTTTTCATGAACACACATTTCGTCGACAGTTGTTTTAGGGATGCTTCTGCAACGTTTGGTCGTCTTTTTCTTTTTTAGTCAAATTTGGAAGCAGTCAAAGGCATGAATCACTGAGGTGCGTTTACCAAAGCCTCCAGCCTCCCCCTCCTCTCTCACCCTTTCTAAACCAGGCGAGACGCAAAACGTTTGTTGCAAAGAGAGGAGAGTTGTGTTCGACGAAACGTCACAAGGTGTGTCGATGAAACAAACGCGGAGCCTTTTGACGTAACAAACTGTTGACAAAATGTCGCAGGTCGACGAAACAATACGTCGACGAGACATAGTTTGATGAACTGAATGCCACCAATGCTGTCACTGTTGGTTTCATACCTCGAGCATCAGGCACTCTAAGTACCCCGTTCTTTCAAGCGACGAAAGACGCAGTCGAGTTTGGCGATAGATCCCAGCCATCTCTCTGCTGGTCTGGCCAGTTAGAATTTCCAAGGAGACTTCAGTCAACATGCGGCGTGGTAACATCTGCTTGCTAGAAGGCACTGCGGCATTTCGAGCAGGACCCGCCACGTTGCAGTTGAATTACGATGTGTGAAATTCTGCAGTTGAGAACGCATCACTTCAACAGAAGCCTCTGGTGTTGGCAATGTGGACTAATCGTCAAATAATCTACAGCACAGCCATGGCGAAGTCATTGGCACAGTTGGCTTCGTCTTTATAAGCGCGCACCTCGCAGTTCTCTCTGCAACGAATGGCGAGACATGTCAGCGTCGCGTCCAGCGCGTCTTTCGGTGTCTTGCTACTAACACAACACTAGCACGCAACAACACCAAGACACCCGCATTTGCAGTTTTGAGCCATAGTCTCGTTGAGTTTCAGCGCATTTGCCGTTTGCATGGGGCTGCTCAGAGATCCAGCCACAATGACGTAATGCACAGGCCCATTTTCCAGCTGGTATCGGATGGAGGAATATGACTGAACCCTTTTAATTGGGCGGCAGCTCACGCCACATAGCCGAAGCTTTTAATTTCAACAATTAACACCAACGAAATTTAGAAGAATGACGAAGAATTTTCTATTGCGACGTCGCAGCAACTGTGGCCACCTAGCAGGCACTACCCGACTCATACTCATGTTTGTCCCACAAAAACCGTATCTCATGTTTGTCCCACAAAAACCGTATAATGATGCGGATTGACAGTGCTGTGGCATAGCCCTGTGATAACGCACCTGTCTTACATGCAAAGGACCCAAGTTCAATTTCAGAGAGCGGCAGGCAACCTTTTAACAGCGAAGCTGTTTACGGCTAGGGATTCGTGGATTTTTCATGTGCGTCAGCAAAAACTAAAATCCCAAATTTGATGTAAAATCGCTTCATTCTATGCAAAAGCTTATAAGTCTCATCACTTGGATATGCATTTTCAGCAGATTAGTTATGAATAGGTACCATTTCCAAGATCAGTAGGCTCTCGGGTAGATAACAAAGGTTTCTCAAAGGTTTTCCGCTGCTCGACCCGCGTCGGCCACGTCTACACACGCACCGCCCTCTGTCGTCGTTCCAAGCGCTTGCGTGCCTAGTTTCCTTTCCTTCCACTCTCCCGGGGTGGCGGTCCCGTCGCGCGTCTACTTTCCGCCGGGTGGCGGTCCCGTCACGCGTCTAGTTTCCTCCGGCCCCTCGGGGTGGGTCTGTGTCGTGTGCTAAACAACTTCGCTTGTCATCCCCTTTCACAAAGGGGAAAGGCTCACAATTTTTTTTTTTCAAGCGACAGACGCTGTATGTTTTATTACGCCAACTACAAAATCATCAACAACGACAACGGGTGTTATTTCCAGTGGTGGGATAGGCCCTTAATAACAGCTATCGCTGTAAAGGCTGGTTGAGGTTCAGCTTTTAAACGAGGGACACAAAACTAAGAACCCAGCCCACAATCTTGTTTCAAACCTCACCTTGTAAATCTAACATTTAAAACTGTGTGTGGAACTGACCGCAGGCCGTGGTCCCTGGCCAGAGATCTCAAAAAAGTCCGACGCCTGGTACTCCAAGTTGTGCAACCGTTGGATTGCACTATTAGGGGTATGTTTTATGGCCACTTTCCATCATGGCAAGAAACACTTGCTATGCTAAAACAGAAGCCTAAAAAGTTAGGTTGGATTCTTTTCAGATCTTTGCAAAGCTAACCATCATGTTCCTTGTGCAATGGGGCTATGCACTGGCTGCCATTTTCATGCTGGCCTTCCTGTGGTTCTGCATTGGACGAACCAAGCCAGGTTCATTCCCAGGTCAGTCCTCTCTGACTTGGTGCATTGACAGTGAGAGTGCTCATTGATGGCAGTAATATGGCTTAACCATTATGCTTTCAAGTGCTCATGTCTACTGCCATCCCTGTAACAAACAATATATGGACTCTCTACACAGGTGTGACCGAATTCAAGCTCCTACCCTGGCTACGAAGCTTACTGCTCCGATGCATAGGGTAACCCATTCTTATGTCATATCAAATGAGTACAATAACCGTGGCCGGTTCTCCTCTCAGAATTTCTGCTGTCATTATGTCTCCGCTTGTCCCAGAGCCTACACTCAATACACTCAGAGTGTGAGCACTACCGACAGATTACTTGTTCTAGCCAATTCTATTGTTTGTTAGCTTGTAACAAGGCAGTCCAAAGACAAGAGCAGCACGGACTGGAAGAAATTCTAAAGGGAAGCTTCAGTATGAATGCAAAGGCCTTACCAAGAGACTAGACTTACGGGTAGGGTTCGGAGTTTTCGGTTTAAACCGATAAAAACTGCTAAAAGTACGCCGAATCCATTTTCGGAAATTCGGTTTTAACCGAGAAAAGTCAGTTTTTAGGTTCAGCATTTTTGATTTAAACCAATAAAAACGGATAAAAGTATGTCAAATTCATTTTCTAAAATTCAGTTTTAACCGGAAAAGGTCACTTTGACCTTCCAGTCGTACCGCAGAGCCGTGGCAAAAAAAGTGGAACGACAGTGTCTCTCGAAACATGTCCGAATGTTTGGGATACACGGATGCCATCACGGCGTTTTGGTTTAATGTGCGCATCATCGATCGGAACGTGAAGTCCGAAATGCGTAATAACTTCGCCATATACGAGCGTGTTTTCGAACTCGTAAGGAAGACTGACTTCGTGGAAGCTCTGCATATTGTGTTGCGCTTCAAAACGTCGCAGCGTGTCTCTTTTGGCGGTCACAATTGGTTGATTGGCCGATTTTGGCTCAGGCAGTGCTTCATTTCCTCAGCCTGCCAGAGTCCAGCGTTAGCGTTGAGTGGGCATTCTCGAAGATCAGGGTCATATTAACAGAAAACAAGAGTCCAGATAAACGAGGAGAACCTGGAAAAGCTAAAGTACACGTCTGTGCACTATAATAAGATCACATAATCCTGATGCACAGAAGGTGAAGTTCCATGTTTTTTTGGCATAGGCTTTGTATCTGACTTGTTTGTACTTTTAAGTTTTTTTTTGTTTTTTTTCTCGTTTTTTTTACCGTTGCACACATTTGCCAAATAAAGTGTCCATTTATTTTTCAGTGTATCGGTGCCGTTATTCTTTGAGTGATCACAAACATCAGAGCTAGAAGGATCATCTGATCCAGTGTCGGTTGGTGTTTATATTCACCGAAAAAAGCCGATAAACTTTTGTAGGCATAAATATACGCCGAAAAAAGTCGAAAATTCATTTTTAAAATAAACACCGAAAAAAGTATGCCGAATTTTGAAAAAATAGAAACCGAAAACGCGGAACCCTACTTATGGGCTGTTCATGGGCAAATTTATGAGCCAAAACATCAGAAAGCAGAGTACTTCAGTCTGACTGCATGGTCATTTTATAATTGTTCGATAGATATCTGTGTAATGCATTTCACCAAATTAAACTTTCCAAGTTTTACAGTCTACAAATCTCCAGAGGATCGAAAGAGAAATGCTTCTAACCCAACCAAAACACATGCGTGAGATAATACATACACGCAAATAAACAAACTAGGCAATAGAAACAAGAGCACCCGCTCTTTAGCCTTGTATCTCAGTTTGTTTCAGTACGCTACTTGAAAACGTTACCTAAATTCACTGTTTTCCTTACTCTATGCAGCAAGAAGCCGGCAGACTATGAACAAATGGTGGTGGCACCCATGCACCCCGGCGTCGAGACGCAGGCGGCTCAGCTCAATGAAGAAAACCTCGACTATGCGTCCAGGCAGCGCTACCACCAGTCCACCACGTTGGGTGCATCCTCCCACTTCCAGCAGTACCTGGATGACAGTGAATGAAGAAGCCCTAGTCTCTAGTCTAGCCTCTGCAAAGGCTGGCAGAAAGCTAGACCAGAAGATGCCAGCACTGCTACTTAAGCACTGCTCGAAATCCAGACAACTCAAGGTTTGCAAAGGACCAAGACGGGATCTGACAGAGGAGGACGTCAGCTTTCGGGCCGTCTCCTGCCGGGTATACGAACGCTCCCCTTTGAAATCAGCCCATGCCTCAAATGCCATTTTTGACCCCCCTCTGCCTCAAGACGTCCCATATTTTCTTAAATGTTTCAAACGTTCAGAGACCAGCATTTTTACGTCTGTACCTGTAAAAAACATTATGTGGCACCACCCGTGGCGTTTTTCAGGAGTATAGTAACGCTGTTTGTAAAGTGGTAGCACCCTGTCGGCGTGCCGCTGCTGTTTCGCCATTCCACGGGACAATCGAAGATCCATACCCACTCCGAAGCGTGTGTGCCATCAAAAGTAATGCTCCCAATATTGTAATCGTCGCAGTGCAAGCGCGAGGTACTCGAGGAACAGCCCCCCCAACAACGAGCACCACGATCAAGCGCTGTGTTCAGGCCTGTGCCAATCGAAGGTCGTGTCGAAGTATGATCTCAAACAAAACTGAACATTGTTATTGCTTTTCCTGTACAAAAAGCCCACAAGCTTGCCAGGTGTCAAAGTGTCTGTGGACGAAGCTTGACTTAATTTGCGTCGTCGTAAACCTGTCCAGACACACAAACTTGTTCCAGTCTTTGCTTTGTGCGAGCCTGGCTCTCTACTGGAGGACAGATTGTTTCAGTGTAATAAAATTGTTTGTGTTGACAGCAGCTGTTCTTTATGGCCATCTCAGCACTGTTCATGGCAAGTTGCAAGAGGGCATTGCATTAAAACTGTGCAACAGCAGCTTTGCTGTCCTTTGGAGCAGTCATTCTCCAGGTAACTGATGGAGGTGACGAAAAACAACGCCCAAAGAAAATGCAAGAAACGAACAACTTCATTCCTTGTAAAGAGGGTGCTATTAGTGGGGGAGGTAGCCACAGGCCAACTTTTGGCACAGACTTACAAAAAAAGTTGTTCTTTTTAGCATCTCATCACTGGAACTGCTAGGAACATAAATCTTCTTTTTCTTTTTCTCTTCCTTGAGAGATAAACAGTGGAAACAAGCAAGCATACTGAAATCTAAGGGAAGTCCATGTCATTGGGAGCATCAAGGTCTCTGTAGGTGATGAGTTTTCTGGGCTCCCCACGTGGACTTCTGCTGAAAGGGAAACATGGAAAGAGCATTGCTTGGGCATCCTCCCCCACTGCCACGATGTCTGTCAATGACGAGCCAAGAAGGGTTCGGGGGGGGGGGGGGTGGGGGGGAGTTTAGGGCGGAGTTCTGACCCTGTCACATAGGCAGCTCAGAGGTACCTTAGCCCACAAGTCACAAAATGAAATGGCAATTGAGATTCAGGCACTAAAATCAAAATGTTCTAAGCTGAGCCTGCTTGTTTCCCAGACCCTCTAAGCACGTATTCTAAGCCCCAAAACCTGAAAAGTTAAAACAGCAATCTCCAGACGCAAGAAATGTTTCTAGCTAATAATAATAATTGAAAAAAAAAAGGTTATGGGGAATTACATTTGAAGACACTAAACTGTGTTGTGAAATACATACAATAAAACGCTGACTTAATTTTCAAAGACGTTAACTGAAGCATGGTCACAACTACTTCGTGGTAGGTACTCTGAAGGCCAGTACCGCGAGAACGAACTATACTTTCTTTTCTCTAGACAAATGTTTCACTCAAGGTAACGGCAATGAAAGGTCATGCGTTTGGTTGGTGCACCTATCCAATTTGTACCTAAACACCAAGCCCAACCCCACTTATTTCACTCGTGTATGACACAGTGGCGGTGGTATCATCTGCAAGAGTGGCCATATCATCCCGGTTTCTTTTCCGTTAAAATCAAACAAAAACAAAGTTTATTTAAAAGCATCACTTTAGTGGCCATATCAGTGACACCAAAACCCTCACATTTACTTCACAAGGGCTGCCTGTGTGACAGGGGTGACGGAAGGTATGGACAGCTGCTGCCAGTTCTCTTCGAAGAAGCAAAAGAAGGGGAAGGTGAACCAGAATCGTGTCTTGCGACACAGTGCCGACCACGCACGTCAAAGGAGTTGAGAGAGAAGAGAAGCGTGGTACTGCCGACGGAAGGACAGAGCAGCGTGTGTGTGGAATCGAGGGGAAGGAACATGCTCCTTTCTTTTTATTGACACAAGGTGGTTACGACGATGGACGGCCGAGCACGATTGGCCGTTGCAAGCGGTGGGAGGCGGCCCATACACACGCACACATACAGAGCAACCGTAAAAGCAAATCACAAAGCATTTAAAAAGACAGAGCCGCCTCCCGAGGTGCTGTATTTACCGATGAACCGGCAGACATGGTAAGTAAAAATTTGCATGAGAATTCCCTATTGTCCCTCGTTTGTCTTTCTTTCCTCTAAAAAAGTTCCAAGTCCTGCGGTTCATCAAGATCGTGATATCCGATCACTTCCCGGGGGTCTGAGCGGAAGCTGAAAGAAAAAGACCGAAGAGATTTTTTTTTCTTCCTCTTCCTTCTTTCTATTGTCACTTACTTTCTGGGCGATGTTAGCTAGCATCAACTCTGCTCAGAAGAGCAGCTGCTTCAAACTACAAATGTGCAATCACAGGATGTTTTTCAAACCTAAATCAACCTTTTAAACTTTAGACTAAAAAAACTTTCCAGTCCCTGTCAAATAAAGAAAACAATCCCCTAGAATATGCCAAGAAAAAACGACATGATAGGTTATTCAAATCCAAAATGTGCAAAGAACTAAAAATATTCTTTGTTGCACCTGCATCAACCAAAGGACCAAGTGAGAATAAAGCTGGTTAAGATCACCATTTCTAAAAATGTTATTGTAAAGTAATTGCCACCTTCAACTTTTTCAAGGGTTAGGCAAACTTTAGCTACATCGAGATGTATGCTGAACAATGCGATTAGCTCGAGCATGACACTGCTGCTGTTTCAGACTTTATGCCTACGATTAGTGTCAAATACCATATTTTACTACCCTTGTCGAGACAAACGCAAATTAAGTGAACTGCACTACATGAGTATTGGTAGTTTCGACACTAGCTATTCAGCTACAAAATAAAAACTGGAAGAGCTGGTAATCACATGCTTGTGCTAATAGTGTCATACTCAGTACTTCATAAAGTGGACCTTGAAACAAGTTTAGGCAGCATGTCTGTAACACTAGATACCATACTTTAACCAAAGTGCTAAAGGAAGACTTGTAGTTAGAAAGGAGAACAAGAGGACCTCCCCTAGATAAATGTAACAAAAAATGCCAAGAAAAAAAAACGAAAAAAAAAAAAACAAAAACAATTTCTCTCATAAAGATGTAATTCTCCTTTTGTTTGTTTCAATATCCCATACAAGACATCCCTCAGAATATGACATACTGCACCAGACGGAGGTGGTCATCCATTCGCTTCGGGAGACAGAAGTGATGACCCGGATTATTCAGCACACTTTTTAGAGCGCAGCTGCTGCCCGTTTCCGGCTTGAGCGGCGTTGGTGCAATTGCGCGGTGCATTTCCCCGCTAAATTTAGCGAAAAAAATTCCCCGCTGAATTTAGCGAAAAATTTTCCCCGCAAGCAAAAAAAGTTCCCCGTTAAATTTAGTGGGAAAATTTCCTCGCTAAATTTAGCGGGAAAAATTCCCCGTTATATTTAGCGGGAAAATTTCCCCCTAAATTTAGCGAAAAAATTCCCCCCTAAGTTTAGCGGAAAAAATTTCCCCTCTATATTTAGCGGAAAAAATTCCCCCTTAATTTAGCGAGAAAATTTTTTTTTGCTAAATTCCATGCTAAATTTAGCGGAAAAAATTCCCTGCTAAATTTAGCGGGAAAATTTCCCCGCCAAACTAAGTGGAAAAAATTTCCCTTAAATGGGAGGAAGGAGGACGGGCATAGCCTCCCTCTCCGTACCTTCCCCTCCTCCTCCTCCTCAAGAACTGCGCTCTAATTCGGCATTACAGGGAATTGTAAACGTCTTTCATTGTTTTAAACCCAAACAGCTTGCAAGCTCGGAAACTTCCCTAAATCTGATTACACGAACCATGGAGAAAGGGGCAATTGTTTGGCTTATGCTACTATATCAGTTCATCGTTCAGCTAAGCTGAAGTTGTACCTAGCCTGAGGAAACACTGAACTGAAAGATAAACCTCCAAACCCTCCAGCAAGGTCAAAAAGGACTCGTCTTTTCTTTTTACTCCTGCTGTAGCAGAGGGAAATAGCCTTTTTGTACACAAACTTTCAGAAACAAGATAATTCACAATGGACATACAAGCGTCACCCTTGCACTTAGCTTACTCAGGGTGTTTCCAACTGCTGGTTAGCTTTTAGAGTAGGGCATGTCGAGAGAGCTAACAAGCCTAGAACTTAGCGAATGGCCAAAATTCCTAGCAACACTGATCGAGAGTCAATGACCAAACCCCAGCCTGAATCACTTCAATGGTCCCTTCAACAATGTAAAAAGTATAAGACCTTTTAGCTATACCGCAAGAAAGTATGTTGTCTCAGCGCCTTAGCGAAAGAATCGTTTAAACTTGGCAGAGCTAGAAAGGCTAATAGCACTGACCGTCCATAGTTGTTCCGCTTGAAGCCAGAGCGGTAGACGTCGGGAAAGTTCCGTCCACCAAAACCTGTCGCAAGTCAAAAGCATGTCATGTAAATGAAGGAAACAAACTAAAAGTAAAAAATAATATGAAGGAAGAAAAAGGACCAGCAGCTAGCAACGAAATTCCATTTGTCAAATGTGACAGCCTGAAAGTGGCACTCGTATGACGTCAAGCGTAAATTGCAGACAGCATTTGTGACAGGTCTTTGTTGTATGTTGCAATTTTGGTGCTGACACGTTTCAGACACCGGACAACTTTTGTTCTTTTCGTCTTTGTCTTGCTGCTCGACAGCCTGCACTTCAACTGCGGTGCTAATTTCAACGACAGCCATTCCTTTGAATGTGCCCCACGCAAGGTCCCATGCCTCGGCCAATTCACCTACTTATCCCAGTGGGTCCCATACTCGCAAAGACAAGGAGTTAAATAATCTCCGGCACGGCACAAACACATACCCAAATAGATGCCTTTCATACTACAGGCCAATCCCCATTGCCAGAAAAGAAAATTCTGGCAACAGCAAAAAAAAAAAAGAATACAACAATGTGCATTGATGTTTTTGTATTTTTTATGTTTGCTGTTGCCAGAATTTTCTGCCTTGGAAATGTGGATAGGCCTGTAGTACGAAAGGCATTTATTTCGGTATGTTTTGTGCAGTCTCAGAAAGCATTTAACTCCTTATCTCCTCGTTAAAAACTACTAATTTAAAAAAATAAAAAAAGGGTCATCAGGTTATCCACAAAAACCAAGAGCCACAATCAGTTTCTCCCACATATTGAGAAAAACACTTCATAAAGATTATTTGGAGGTCTCCAGACTTCAAGACAGTTCTGCATGCCCCTGGGGCGGTGGCCAGGACAAGGTCCAGCGAGGGAGGAAGCGGGACAATCGGCATTGAGGGTGCCCACCTGGGAATCCGGGGCCGTGGCCCCTGCCAAAGCCGAAGGGGGGTGGCGGGTGGAACCCTCCACCGTGGAAGGGGGCCCCTCCCCCCATGACGTGGCCGTCTGGTCCCCCCCTTCCCCCTCCTGGGGGACCACCCCGATTGGCCGGGTGCTCAGGCAGCTGGGGACGCTTGGGGTCCACAAGGTAGGACGCTTGGGGTCCACAAGGTAGTTGTTGAAGTACTCAACCTGCATTGCGTACAAACACAGGGATTGATTGGAAGGATCAGCAATGGTGCCCTCAAAGGCAATGTGAACCGATACAGTAACAGTGACGTGATTGGTCCGAGTCATTTTGGAGCACCCTATGAAGCAGCCAAAAGTCAATTTTGGAGCAGCAAAATGAATTTTTGGGGCATAAGCACACATTATTTTCATTCACACCACCGTGAATATTACGTTAAGATTCACGTTTTGGCCTGCCCGATTACGAGGCAATGTCTCTTTCACTACCCACTTGTGTGCATCAATTGCACTGCAGGCTTGACTCGCCCAAACACGGAACTGGCTGTTTTGTTTTGAATAGAAACACCAGACACAGCAAAAATATGCTTATGAAGGAAGAACAGGATGAACTGCTGCGATTGGTTATTTTAGGTACAGGAACAAAGGTAAATCAACTGGTAGATCCCACTGAAATATTGTTGGAATAAAATATTTCTGAACATCCAAATTGATGTTTCATTCAAGTTTCAAAAGGCTGTAATAAAATTGCCACTCTCAATTCAGATAAAAAAAATGTGTTTTTTATTTGATTATGACCATCAATGACATTTCATATGTAGAACTTCACGATAACAAACAATAGTATATGGACGATAAATATGCTTCTTTAATAAAAAAAAAAGATCCAGCCGAACTAGCTAATTTAGTTCTTATTTTCTCTGCTGGTAAATTGAATAAATAAATAAATATTGAATAATAAATATAAATTGAATATATAAATACACTGTCAGGGTCCCTTCAAATCACAAAATGACTAACTGCTTCGTTTTTGGTTTTGAAAAAACAATGCAGTACTCTTCAGTATCGCCTAGGAAAACCACACATCAAATATTACGACACAGTTCTGTCTAAATGTTTATTAAACGGTCCGGCAGAGTTTGCAACTCGCCAAGTTGCCGAAATCGGCTGACTCTAGTGGGCGAATTCAGGCGCAACCAAAAGTGCAGTCAAAACTATGGTGTGGGCGAAGCCAACAATGAGCTAAACGTCATCACCATTGCCCCCTTTTGCTTGTTTTTACTTCTCTGTGCGAGCGTAGAGGATGATGTCAGCAACGTTTCCTCTCTGAGCTCAGCAATGTCCACGTGATTGGCGTAACGTGCCTGTGCAGTGCGCCTTTTGGGAGCCGTACGGCCAACCCTCCGTGGTTCCGCTGTTACCGCCGTCTCCCGCGTGGGTCGTCACAACCACCGTCGTCGTCTCGCCGTTTGTGATTATTGTCATCTCACAGTTTCATCCACACTACGGACACTATGTGCGCAGACGTTGTCGAATGTCGTAGACACCAAAACGTGGCGAAGGGTGCAGATGACACTTGCGCCTGGCGCACGCCCGCCCCAATCCCGCCCGTCGTTACGTAGAGAATCACGTGACATCTCGTACCACGTGATGGCCATGTTCTTGGCGGCCCGAGGTCAATGTTGCCGGACGGAGCCGAAGTTTCGGTTTTGATTTACGCTTGTGTTTAAAATTATATTTAAAAATATATATCCCATTTTTCGAGAAGCAAATAACGTGGTGTCTTTTAGTAGGGCTTTTTAATACAAAATCACTCATTATCCTAATATCTTCAGAAATGAGCGGAATTGCCCAACCTTAAATGTTTGTTGGTATTAAAAAAAAATGAAAGAAAACAGAAAAACACTTGTCCTAGTAGTACCCATCACTTCACAATCAGGAGAAAGAGCTGACCTCTAGAGATAAATAATGACTTGTTCGTACAAATCTTTATGTCCTTAATAAGTGCCCTCGGAAATGTGTAGTAAATGCTACGAAGGTTTGTGAACTTATAAGTGAAGGTTATAGGGGCGGTGCAATTATTTTCCGACTTTGATCGATCAACTGCGGAAATTAATCTGCGTCACCTATAGAATGAAGAAGAGAAAACCGTATTTTCTTCTAAGCACTAGATTTTATTTTTTTAAAAATGAAACAAATCAAAGGTCAAAGTGCCTCTCAACTCTCCATGTCGCCTTTCAAGTGACATACTCTGGGGGATCACGTGGTTTCCCCTTGAGTTCTCTCTTTAGAGACCCCAGCCGCTTCCTCCACAATTGTAGACTTTTAAAGGGTTAGCATCGCTGAAGGTCGAGGCGAGCGATCGACACAAAAGACGGTTCGCCACGGGGCTGACGGCGAGTGTAGCAGCCGAGGGGGACAGGTTTTGTTGACTTCTGCGTATCCCCCAGAGACGCTGTCACTGTAGCTCCCATAACCGCCACACGTGGCTGTAGATCGGCAAAGAATTCATTTCTTGCTTCGCGATCACACAGCGGAAGAGCAGTTTCTCAAAGAAAGTTGCCATGTTTTTGGTCACTTAGGCTTGGATAAACAATATAAAAAATGCAAACTGCCCATTCTTTCAACATTAAAATTATTGCACTAGCCCTTTAAAAGGTTAAAGACTCCTAGTCAGAAGGTTATCTGGTAAATATTTCTTTCAGAAACTCACAATAGAGTTCTCACTGCACAAAACCAAAAAACACAAAAATGAAGTCCACATCTGAGCCATAGCCCAGAAGACATGCGTTCCCCTGCTTTCGAGCGCTCCGCACGCCTCGAACGTGCAGCGCCACTATTCGCCGAATTCAGTCATGTGAGGAGCGGGATCAACATGCCATGCAGGAAAGACGGCGCTACAAGGATGAACGCGCAACTCTGGCTCCCGTAGGGAGCCTATACAGGAACTTTTAGGGCAGATCGATTCCAAACGTTAGCATATTAGGGTGCTAGAAACACTTGCCTCCAACATTTAGAACACAAACTTAAATTCTATCCTCCAGTGAAACTGTAACAAACCTTGACAGGTGAACGTGTCTGCCCACGTCGAGTTCCCCACCACCCCGGATGCTGCGAAATACCACTGACCTCCTTGCGCACTTCATCCACTTTCTCGGCATGCTTGTTAAAGATGTGCTTGCGCACAAACTCAGGGCCCTTGAACTTCTTGCCCGAGAGGGGACAGAGCCACTTGTCCTTCGCCAGCTCCTGGGTGTTTGCAGCCACAAACTTCTCCACCTCGCTGGAGGACGTCTGAGTCAAGGACGACACCGCACGCTCCGCACACAAGGGTTCCAAACCCATTACACAGGGAAGGAAAGAGTCAAGTACTGCAAGAGGTTCACACTAGAGCCTCTACTAAACAAGGTATGCTTAGAGTGTCGGCACTTCATTCCCAGATTATCCTGCGGGTGTCACCATTTTGGTGCTTGGTGCAGAGCGGGTGCAATAGACCCCCTGCAAAATGTGTCGTGCCGTCCGGTACGGAGTCGGTTGTAGCAGATGACGAAAAAACAGTGGGCAAGGGCACACGAGCAACTGCGCCGCCCTCTTTCTCTCTCGCTCCGTTCAACGACACATGGTAGATGCTGTGGGAGCAAGAACGAACTTCGCGGGCAGTAAAGGACTTCGTGTGCAGTTGTTCGGGATTTACGACTCGAAAATTAAACTTTCGGAGCTTTAAATACGATGCCAAGAGGCTCAGGTCATATCGTTTTGCTCTTTCGCAGATTGTTTTGACATTTCCGGAAGACGGAAAGGCCTTTCCAGGGATTTCAGATAAGGCTTTGGATAATCGACAACAATGATAGTAATACTGGATAAAACAAAATGTAGAGAGGACGACACACCCCCAGACGAATACATTCTTTCAACTCACAACAAAGTTTATTCCATGGAGTGTGATCGCCCGTTCCCCCACGCACTCTTAGGGAAAGGGGGAAAAGGCAGAGGCAGAGAGGGGAAGTCAGAAGGAAGGGGGGAGGGGTGCGTCGACCCGCTGGGGATGGGCCACTCAGCAAGGTCGTCTAGTCACCCCGGAAAGCTCAGGCACAAAAAATTCATCTCTCTATCTGAGAGGGCTAGCGAGGGAAGAGAGACATTGACGCCGGAGTTTTTCATTGAAAATGATTAGATTACTTCCCTTCCGAATCTCTCAGGATGGCGCCCGAGAATGCGCATTTCATGAAGCTAGGCGCACATCCTCAGGATGTGCAACGATGTGCTGCGATCGGGTGCCCCAAATCCACACTGGGATCGGCGACCTCTCAGAAGTGCTCCCTCAGGCCTCTTCTCCTTTTCTCTAAGAATGCGCAAGGGAACGGGTGACCGCAAATAAACTTTGTTGCGAGTTGAAAGAACATACTCGTCTGTGTTTCGTCCTCCCTAGGCTTTATTCTTTCTGTTATTTCGTACACTTTACCAACACGCTCGATACGAACACAATGATTTTAAGTACCGAGACGGCTAAAGTGTCATTGCTCGGAAGTGTAGCTCATTCAGTAGCCCTACATCGTAACCACGACAAACTTTGCCGAAATCAGACTATGCGACGGCAGCGGCCCAGATATAAAGCGATGCAAGGATACGCCTCGGGGTCCTTTCTCCCCAGCCGGCCGGCCTCGTCGTCCGTAAGCTTGGTCGTCGGCTGCAGGAACGAGCTGATTTTGGTCTCGAAATGGTTGATGTAGTCCGACACTGCAACGACCCAAAAATGAAGAATTAGTCAAGGGAGAGCATCGGTAAATGGCAAAAGGTGACGAGCGCGTGATATGTGCTAAGGGGAAAGCGCCCCTTCAGAGCAGGACGTTGCACACACAATTCGCCTTTTTTTGTTTGGCAACAAACTCAATGGCGCCATCTATTGGGTAGCCTCGGCACATATCTGGTTGACGCATATTTCCCATTTTTTTACCGATCATCCTTTCATCATAAGAGTGAAAAAAGTCTGATACTGCTACAAGTGGCCATTTCCAGAATATAGCGTGCATATTTGATTTGGCAAATACTGCAAAACCCACCGTCTAGTTCAGAACCGGAAGTAGTTGGGGGCTTTTTGCACACTGGTGCCACCACGTTTCAACTCTCGCGAGAAAGAGTGAATAGACACTTTTGAAAAGTGCGAACCCTTGCCTATCCGCCATTGCTTGGGCACGTATTTCAAAGCATACCACATACAACAGATCCCCTACTGCCGTCGACAGGATGAAAATGGCTAGAAGGGGTTTCAGTAGTCCCACCTCCAGCATTAGCTTCCTACCCTCGACGATGCTTCGGTATTTCCCGAGCCTCGAGTCTGCATGCGCAGTAAATGAACGTCAAACACGACAGTCGGTCTGAATTATCGAGTCTCGCACTAAAGTTCCCACACCGGTAGAAACACTGCCGACTAAAACTGTGAACAAATTGTTAATGAACCACCATTATACCCATAAAAGATGCGAAATCAACCGTCGTAATCGGATAGTGTAGTGTACTCAAATGTCCATAGCAAACTCCACGAGACTCGCGCAACTTAGCTGTACGAACCAGTAACGGCGTGCAAAACCGAAGTGGGACCGCCATGTAGTGGCACATCTGCACTATGTATGCTTTGTTTTCACCCCTTAACTGTTTCGGAGGAGCCTAGCTCTTCGATGTGGAGCCATCCCCAAACAATTCAAGACGAGTGTCGCTCGTCTGCTTTGCTCGGTTCACGCGCTCAACCCTTTTTTGGATGACCCAGGCTTGTTTGTGGCTCTTCCAACAGATGGCGGCACCAACCTTTTTAAAATTTTTCTGCCATTCCGTTTGTGGGTAGAAACTTAATTTTAAAAGCAGCAAATTTTATTTTTAAGACCACAATTAAACGGACGAAAGTTAGAAATAAAAGAAACTTTCGGCCCTTCCACTCTGGTGGAATAATAAGAGCAGCGGAGCTGTAGCTTCTGTTCTCTGCAGTGGCTTTCCAGGCGAGCGTTGTGCTTTTTTTTTGCAAAAAAATCTGAAGCGCTCGATGCACGTGGCGGTTGCGGACCCATTTGCGCTGCTGCATACGTCGCCGCTCCTTGCACACCCGGTCTTCTTTCTCCGAAGAACAGGTATACGCCCGACCCATCGCGAGTCCAAACCGAAACTGATAAAAGCGTAGGAAACAGCGCACACAACAGACGAGGACAAAGAAGAAACACATGTCTCATGCGCTGCGCTCGTAGCATGCGTTTCTTCTTCGACCTTGTCTATTTTTTGCGCTGTTTCCTACAATGAATTCCCACCAACTCCCCCAACTTCTATGATAGCTGGAAAGGTTACCGCCATCTATGAGCGACAGCAGCAACGAAACTGGTTGCCGCCGTCGCTTATAGATGGCAGTGGCTGTTCAGAGGTTTGTGTCCACATTTCTTTGGTACCAGACACGACTGTGGGGAACCTAGTTTTTAACAGCTCTGCTGTAAAAAAAAAAAAAAAAAGACTAAAAACAGTTAAGGGGTTATGAAAGAATGGTGCCAAATACAGTTCAGTCATCCCTTATTAACTAAAGGTTTGACGTTTGTCCGTACGTTTCCCCACTAAATTTAGAAAGGAAATTGACGTAACGAGACGTCAGACTATTGAGTGATGCCGAGACTTGAAACTGTGACGTCAATTTCCCAGCAGGAAATGAATAAACAATGTTCTGCACTTCCTGAAACAACCATTCAATGTCTTCAAAGCTAATTTACAGGACTGCTCCTTCAACGCTGCATTCTATGCATTATACGACTCCAAAGATAAAGGTTGCTGGCTTCTTTTAAACGAGATTGGTTAGGTAATATCAAAGTAGGTGCCACATATCTGTTTATTGCTTATCTCGAATGATGTTCAGTGTGATGCTTGAACGCCCCGAAACTGCCTGCGAGTTTAAACGAAAGCTGGCCACTAAGGATGCGCAAGAGCTAAATATAAGATATCAGAGATATGGAACATTTGGAAAACATGGAGAGAATGCGGTACTATTGCCTTAGAAGATCCCTACTGCTGTGAAATCCTTAGTAACTTGGATCAGCTGTGGTTGCATTGCAGGTCGACTTTAATATCATTTAGCTTCATAGTTATTTCTGTTTCTCAAGCATGAATGCTGGATGTAGTGAAGCTTATACTGTTTTTTTTTTTTTTTTTGTAAGGTTAACGGATTTGTTTCAATAAGCCGTGAAAGCTAAGCACATGCGGTTTGTGCAGGTGAGTTATATGGCCAAAGGGATATAGTATAGGGGTCAAATCGTAACAATCAGTGAACTAATTTACTAAAATTACTAAATTAACCTTTTAGTTAGTGAAAATAGACATATGGCTACAATTAGAAACTTGCTGAGCATCATCCAAAACCACTAAATCAATAATATTTATAAATACCTCGAGCACGTAGGAAACGTAGTAGTGCGCCAAAGGTATCACCAAAAAAAAATTCCTGGCTACACCACTGCTGGCCGTGTAACTCACCTGCACAAAGCGCATAAGTGTAGCTTTCACGACTTTCTCTTAAGCTTAAAAAAGACACCTTGTATGCCAACACACTGAGGCTATGCGAAATGGAATGGAACTTCAGTTTACTTCATTAAACATGCATGTTCGTAAAAAAGATGTTCGTTGTAAAGGTGTTTTGATTACAACAGAGATTGAAGCTTTTCAATAATGAACTAAAATACAAAACTTGAGATGCAAAATTTCTAAAGAAAACTTTGATTGGCCAGAGCCATTGGACACAATACCTTTTTGAAGATATTAAAATCAACAAATATGTAAATTCCTTAGTTCTGACAGGACAGTAAATGCCTTGAAGGAGTGTGGAAGGACTTTGGCATCCAAGCGTAGAGAAGTGTATGCAAATGTTCGACCGTGGACAACCTCTTTCACGAAACTCATATTAGGAACGATAATGGCGACTGTAAGCTGCTAACTCACTGAGATAGCATTTAGAGCAAGGAAGGCGACGCCCTTACCTTCCTGCGGGGTAACCTTGCTAGAGGGCGGGGATCCCCGGGCGTGCATGATGCCGCACCGGTTGGGCATCTCGTCCTCGCTGGCATACTCGCTCTGGTTGTAGTAGTCCACAGAGTGCACCACCCGCAGGTAAAGCAGCAGCCGGTCAAGCACCTGGGCAGGGACACAAACAACGGACGACGTGTCTCCCAAGAGGTTTCGGTCCAACGTCATGACTGCCCAACAGGAGCCACCAGCAACATTAACACTCTTTGTAGACACTGGGCCCATTCGATTTATCTCAACCATCTACGCCAGTGCAGAAGAGCACAGGGCAGTGTACGTCCGGTACTATTTTAGGATAGGGTGCGCTTCTAAATCGAAGAAGGTGACATGCACTGAGCGCAGCTAGTGCACGCCACCTTTAGGTACATCAAATGAGCCTATTGTACAAACGATGTGTAGTATTCCTTCTCTCGCAAGTCCCATAAAATAATGGGGGGGGGGGGGGGGGAGCTTAAAACTATGCAGTGTTAATACGAGAGAAGAATGCAGTTGAATACAGATCTAGCATCCAACCCCTGTGCATGCAGACACGTGATGTAAAGCGAGACGGCTTTTTAGGACATAGACAACCTCACAGTTGGCTAGAATAACCTGTGATTTCCGCTGCACCACAAGCCGCTAGTAGCTCAAGAAATAAATCTCGGCTTGTTTTACAAGAACCTCCATAATGACTTTTACTGAAAACGGTTAATCTAGACACGGGTGCTTGTCCGGTCAAATCGGGCGCTTCAAGAAATGCTGAACCAAAATTTGGAGCTCACAAAACAAGGCTGGAGCAATTAATTGGCGGGACGCTGCAAAACCCCAAAACATCACTGATACAGCGATATCTCTAACGGATGGCGTATTTTTGGAAAAGAAGCGCACGATTGAACAACGCTGATGAGACATCTCGCATCACCAATTTTCACTCCCTCTCCCCTTCACCTCTTCCCCTCTAGCAGATGAACCAAAGTGAGGAGGAGAGAAGTGAGGCTGCTTCCCCCGATTCTTAACTGCTCCAGGGGAATCGTGACGTCACATTCCCCACTTGATTGCGCCCTTCTTTTCCAGAAATGCGGACATCCGTTTGAGATATCAATTTATGAGTGATGTTTTAAAGTTTGTAGCGTCCCTTTCAACGCTTCTGCGGCCTTATTTTGTGAAATCCAAATTTCGGTTCAGCATCCCTTTAATGTACAAGATGCAGAATTTCCAAGTTTGGGAAATGTTAATAATGGGTGCTAGAACAAAGTGGGCGCTTCTGTGGTATTTTACGGTAGAATGCAAGCCAAGAATTGAGAGGGGGGCCCTAACCTTGATGAGTGCATCATCCTTTTCGAGATTGGTACCACCGGTGGCCGTGGAGTCTTCTGCCTCGGCGCCTTCCTCTCTGTCTGCGGGGCCACCCAGCAGTTCTTCCTCCTCTGCAGATGCCTCTTCAATCAGATAGTCCGTGATGTTCTTCAACAGTGGGTTTTTTGAGGACACGCCAAAGCTCTGTAAGGAGATGCAAGACCAAAAATGTCAAAAAACATAACTGCAAGGTTATAGACTACCGTAAAGTCCCAAAAGAAGGCCCATCCAAAATGAAGAGATAAATGGTGAAAAATATGGTGTAAGCAATGTTTGGGAATGCAAAAGCAAAATTTTATCAAAAAATGAAGATAAGCACGGAGGAGGGAGGAGGCATTATTACGAACTCTGCAGACACTGCAAATTCACATTCCACAATGCAATAAGTAGGCAGGAATTCGCTATGAACTTCCTTGTCACGGGAACGGATACCACAGAATGTGGACGAAGCACATTCACGCTTCGCAGTGCGATAAACCATGCGAAGCCCTGCTACAAACTCAAGTGGTGAAGTGAACCAATATCGCCCATACAGATTGCGGACAAAAGCGCGGGGACTCACTACGAACTGGCATGGTGCGATAAACACGAGGGAGCCCACGGCAAACACACTCGTCACATGTACCGATTCCGCAGATCGTGTAGTTGATGTGATTCCCGTCGGACATAGCGTTATCGATATCTGCTGGGAAGGGGGGGAGCAGTGTTTCACAAGCTTTACATTATGAATATTCAGCCCAAAAAAACGGGATAGGCGATCTCTCGGGGGCAAGCATTTTCTCGGAATTTTACGGTCAATCAATTTGTTTGACTCTGCCAAGAATCAACCCATGGCCGGGTAACCAAACCTGAAAGCAACGAACCTTCATTAATCGTGACTTGAGGGTCTCAGCTTGCATTTGCATTCCCCAATTTCGCTACGACAGTCTCCAGATATTCGCGAAGCATTGTCCAGCATAGTCAGAGCCGCAATGAATCCCACAAGCCCGCAAAGGAGCCACTCACGTCGGCAGTAGGCTGCTGCTCCTTTCCGGCGCCCTTGCCCTGGCCGGCCTCCGCATCACCGGGTGACCAGAGTCCCCGCTGCTCGTCCAGGTTGTGCACGATGCGGGCCGCCAGCTTGATGTCCGACCGCACCACCTGCTTATGCGACGCTATCCCGTTCACCGACCGGATCCGTCGGCTCAAGTCACGGTTCACAATGGCCCCCAGCTCACAGTCACGGAGCTGCAGCCGGGAGAGAAAAACGGAAAAACATTGCGTGACCTGTGACCACAAACTGCCTACATTTGTGCAAGTGCAACTCATCCTAACAGGGAAACCTGTCATGCTAGCACAGTCATAAATATACCCGCACAATCGTGCCAAAATCTTAAGCCAGCCGAAATAGGGGCCTTCACCTACAACTATCAGTCAAAATGGCTAAGCAGAAGAAACTTAATTTCAAACGTGAAGCAGTAGGTCAAGCAGAACATACCAAAAATCTCAAAACTGGTTGATCTGTAGGTCCCCTTAGACTGTATGTTTTGGAATTAGACGAGCGAGCAATATATCAATACAAAACTTGCAGCTTTTCCCGCAAGTTAACCTCAAAACTTGCTGCTTTTCCCGCAAGTTAACCTCCATCAGTTCTAATAGAAGAAATAAAGAGTAAACTTGTTTTGGAATTACCAGCATGTGCATGTCTACGTGATTATTATGCGCACGTGTACTATTACGAATGCGAGACCCTCACCCGTATGTTGTTGAGGTTCCAGCAGATCTCCTTGATGTTGACCGTGCGCTCAAAGGTGACCCACCCCCGCCTAAAGAAGCGCCGCTCTGCCTGGGGGTCTGCGATGGCCACACGCAGGAAACCGGGGTACCGCTTGCACATCTGCAACCGAGAGCACGGTGCAATAAGCTCCACCACCACCCATGCTTCTTTCTGTCAAGATGTTAGTAAAACGCCCAACGTTGCTTCCTAAAACCACGTCCTGAACTTTTTCAAGAGAAAAGTTTGAGCTTTTTACAGATATTCAAATAGTACTTTTTAAAAACTCCAAAAGCTTTGAATTTTAAAAGCAAAAGAACTTGGTGGACAATTTATTTCACGACAATGACTACCGTATTTACTCGCATAACGAACACACTTTTTTTCCCGAAAAATTGGCACATATTTGGGGGGTGCGTTCATTACCAGGGTATCTAGCAAATTAATATTTTGGAATTCCCTGACTTTTCCAGGTTTTCCCTGAGAATTTCAGGCAAAATTCTTTGACCACTGTAGAGGCGGTTAAATATACAAGATAATTACAACACAAGGCATTGAGCATTGGGCACTGTCAGGATCATTTTGCACAGGCTTAATCCAACTAGCACATTCCAAAATACTATTCAGGTTCATCCAGTCCGGATTAAACAAACACTTTCTTGCCGCCGACATGGTCCGTGAAGAGGCCACTCCCGGAAATATGATGAAAACACGACGCTCAACCACACGTCAATAACCGAATGAGAGCATGGCCGTGAGATGCACACTTTTGGATACTTTCGGCTTACGGCTTGGATTGGATTGGGGTCTGCAGCTTTCCCATTGGTCACTAAATTTAGTAGGTAGCTCAGTGTCGTGCCCTCAGTCTAATCCAATCCAATCCAAGGCTTGGACTGGATTTGTCGGCTGTTCCTTTTGCATCAGGTAGCACACTCTACATTGGGTGAGCAGAGCTCGCACTCCGCTCTAAGCAGAATTTATTGCCTATTTTTCTGCCCTCAAGTCTTCAAGCCTTTGCTCAGGGCACTCGATGGCATTTCCAGCTCATTTTTTCTCACTGGGCTCACTTTTTGACAATACCCCTCACAATTTTCTGATTTTTCCCGGCAATTAAAATTCCCCTAACAATTTCCGGTTTTCCTGGTCGCTAGACACCTTGGTTACGCAGGGTAAAATTTTTGCATCCAAACACTTCGTGCAAATAGGCGAAGAGTGTCCAGGGCTGAACAATTCCTCGACCCAAGCTTCATCAAATCTGCGCGTCGCTCGGTTTCACGGTTGATCACTTCTGCAACTAGGCACTTGCAGCCTTTACGAGAGTGGCTTGGCTTGGCTTGACTTGGCGGCAAAAGAAAATTGGCTGGTGAGCTTGGTGGCTAGCTAAGTTGGATGCAATTCGAGACTTGCGGAACCGAAAATTGGACATGATTGTAAACCTGAGACTGCGGCAGGAAGAGAACACAACAGAAGGTAGTAAAAGAGGAGGCAACGTCTCAAACTCAGCTGCAAAGTTTATTTCAAACACGCTTTATATACTCTATAAAAAAAACAAAAAAAAAAAACATGACAAGAGGACAATGACACTTCGGTAAACCTTCTCTTATCTCCCTTGACCTTGGCTGTGGGACACTCACACAAAGGGACACATTCTAGCCTAACCACCGCTACCCGGCGAACGTAGGTGAAAACACTACTGAACACAAAGAAAGGGTTTGACCTTCAAAGGTGCGTTCCCTCTAACAAATCACTCAGTCCAAAGAAACAATACTATACACTGCTACCAGCCGGAACTGGGATCATGTTCAACTTACACCAGCTCGCCTGCACTCTGACTATTTTTTCGAAAATTGGAGGTGCTTTTATTACGCGAGGGAAAAAAAAAAGTCCAAATATTGGTACCCGTTGTGGGGGGTGCATTAATTATGCGAGTAAATATGGTATTCTTCTGAAGCAGTGTTCCCACACTGACTTCAGCATCGTAACTAATGCTTTCCAGTTCTTGCATTCTGCAGTTCAAAGTTCAGCTAAGGCTCTCCAATTATGCAATTTAAGCAATGACACTTGCAGCTGTATTCACCAGTCGTGACTAACTAGCACTGTTTTAAAGTTAGTATCGCATCTAAGTAGTCGCAAACTAAGAGAGAAAAATCGGCGACTAAGTATCGACTAGTTCTGTTGTATCCACGAGCGCTAAGCGGGCGGGTGACTATCTAGTCACAACTAACAAGCAGAAGTGACATAAAAAGATAGGTCACGCATATGCATACTTAAACGCCACTGCGTAAATGGCTATTTTATTGTATAAAAACTAAACTTTAAATGTTTATCAGGAAAAGAAAGTTACAATGAGAGACATATTGTCCGAGACAGAGTTTTACAAATTAAAATGTAAAAACAACGCCAGGGAGAAACCCGGAAGCCACATTGCCAGCGACATAAACAAATATGGAAGCGCCCGTAAATGTGTTTTTTCTCGTCGTCCAGCGCCCTGCTAACATCTCTTTAGCGGTATCTCTGACCGCTGAACACGGCTATTTACACAGTTTTTGCTCCTCCAATTCTTTCTAGATGTGTCTTCCAGCGTTCCGAGACAGTAAGTGCTTCGTTAGCACTGGCGGTCCGCGGTGATACGAGTCGGCCATGGCGCTGAGCCGCTGGTAACCCGCTAAACTGGCCCTACCACATGACTAAGATTTGTTAGTCGACTTCTTAGTCGCGCGGGGCGACTAGGCCCTAAACACAACCGGTGAATACCAAGCGCTCACTTAGCAACGACCATCGCTCGCCACGTGATCATTTTAGTCGATGACGTCACTAGTCAGTCGTTAAACAGGTGCTACTCGCGCCTGGTGAATACGGGTGTTGGTGCTTTGTCCTTCACGGCACGAGTTTGTTCAAGTAATCAACGCCTTAAATGCGGCTTCCATTGTTTCAAGTACCCTTTTAAAAGAAATCTCATGTAGTCCTCGTCTTTCGTGTGGTTTTATTTCTATGTATATGGTGTCCCCCAAAAACGTTTAGAGGGCTTTTTTCACTGCAAAAATAGACTATGTGTCACCAAACGCTCATTCTCCGCCCAAATGTAGCACTAGCGGTTCGAAACAGACGGCAAAGTTTCAGCACTAAGCAGTATTTTATTCAAAAGCACGTGAAAGAAGAAATAGAAAACATAAAAAGCATTATTATCGCTTTTGTGTTTGTAAAAAGCACCCAAAAGCACGCCCCAGAAATGCTGCAGCGCCATACGGGAATGCGGGCACTATACTCTGTTTCACCTTATGTTGTACCGCAGGAAAGGCTATAAGCGCGAGCTCCTTGCTCTGGGGCTTTCGGTTGCACAACAAAAGATACCCAGGTGGTCGAAATTAATCCCCAGTCCTCCGCTGAGGCGTGCCAGATGGTCATCTTTGGTTTGGCACATAAAACCCCCAAATTTGACTTTTTAGTCTTTTCTCTGCCTGAGCATATTTTAGTTTCTGCTCCAGATGGGTCTGGTGTTTGTGTGTTGGTGTTTGTGTGTTGGTGCTTCTGCTTGGTGCCTTGCTTGGATTGTGGGCTGCCCAGGCACCTACGAAAAAGGAACTACCAGGCAAGCAGCGCCGTGCTGATGCATACCTGTGAAGTTGCCAAGTGGATCGCAAATGGAAGGACCTGAGCACTGAGGATGAGTGCAGTCAAAAACTGATACTATTTCTTAAATTTCCATTGCCTTTTCACTTCTGCCATGCTCCCAGGTGCGGTAAATTTATGCAGCCTCGGCTTACGTTATAATAGTAATACTTTTTTTTGAAGGCATCAAACTTGCTTTTGCATTATATTCGTGGTTCTGTTGTATTCGTGAAAATATACAGTGTTTTTCTTCAAATTTGTAAATGCTTTTTCAAGACCTATTATTTTTTTCTGAAATCGGTGTTTTGCGGTGTTTATTTTCAGTGCCACGAAAAAAATCTGTGTTCATTGAACAACATCTTGATACCGAGAAGAGGAGACGGGGCAAGGGGCATTGTACCCCGAGAAAGAAGCACCTTCAAGGACAGCTAATACAAACTGTGTTCATGTTCACAAAAAAAAAAAAAAATGCTACAGATAATTTTTTTTTTTATTAAGCCCAAGGATTTTTTTTTATTTAAGGGCAGCTTCAATTTGGTAATTATTCAGTTTTCCCCAATTCCTCGAAAACCGTTTCGGGGGTCTATTAGTATTGGGGTTTACCGGAATATACCGAAAACACAGAACCCTAGTTATAAGTGATTTTCTGAAAGTTTCAATGGGAAAATGGTAGCCGACGAAGGTCTCAAATACATAGAGCTCTATGGCACCAGTTGCCAAAACAGGGTGAAAATGGGTCCCATTTTCCTATTGCATCTTTCAGCAAATCACTTCTAACTTTTGAATAAGATAACAGTTAGTACTGAATCTTCGACATCTGGTTTCGGACCGCTAGCGCTACATTTGGGTGGGGAATGAGCGATCAGCAATGAAAAAAAAAACTCCAAAATCTTTATGGGGGACACGCTGTGATATCAACCAACCCAACTCTACGCCCTCTTTCACCACTTTCCCCCGCCTTGCTCCAATTCCTCCCCCCAACGAAAGTGGGCAAACCCGATGGAGGACAGGTGGCGGCCACTCACCGCCTCCACCTCCAGTTTGGTGATGGTGGGTGCCAAGTTGCGCAGGAAGATGGAGCAGGTCCTGTGCAGGGGCCTGGGGCGTCCCTTGCTGTCCTCCCCTTTCTTCTCCTCCCCTTCCTCTCCCTTGCCCTCCTTCTTGTCCGCCTTGGCCTCCTTGTCCTCCTCCTCCTCCCCTTCCACCTTCTCCTTCGCCTCCGTCGAATCCGGACGGGCTGCGAACACGTGGGCCCGGTCGGTTAGGAGAAACAAGAACGACAGAGATGGTCCACTGCCCGTGGCAGTCGTGAAACGACGAATAAGAAAAATGCAGACTCGATGTGAACGTCGAAAAGAGGGCGAAATTGCAGGTCGGACACAACAGTCATCACTCAAAATGCCAGCATACAAATTCAACCTTGTGCAGGGCAGAAGATAGAGTTTGCATGTTGGCCAACTGTGGGGATGGATAGTGAAGGAAGGGAAGAGAGCCTTCAAACACTCCGACAAAATTTATGCAGGTTTATATAATTCGTTTTACAAAATATGGTAAGAAAAATTTATTTTTGGTGCTTCAAGTTTGTTTCTTTTCTTTTTCGTTAGAAAACCACAGACTGGGGCTGGCTCTCTTCATTTTTCCTTGGCCCCATGCAATGACAACCAACATAGAACTCGGCTATATTTTCGAAGTTCTGAGCAGTATGAAGCATATCATCTCCACTAAAAGTGCAAGTATAAAAAAAAATTTTATGAGCACCAAAACACAAATCGAACTCAATTAAGAAAACTGTTTGCATGTAATCACGAGGCATGAAATATCCTATATTATGGCTGAACTTCATCACGTCATGTCCCTTCATATGATTCACTAGTTTTGGTTTTACCTTGTTTTTTTGTTTTTTTAAGAAAAAATGCAACCCTATCATAGTAAAGTATTATTATAAAGTTTTCACGTACCCAAGCACTCTGCACACCCAAGGGCTACTACTGCACCTGTGCTGAACTCAAACAGCATTTTGGGTTTTGGGTGTCCACAATATTTCTTAAAAGCAGCGCGGGAGCTCGGACTCGTCGCGGGACATATTGGATTGCCTTGGCTCGGTTGGTCATGGGCTAATACAGATTAGACCAGCTTGGACGTCACAGAACGATGTTGCAAAACCCCTTCTTTTTACTTACAGCATTTCGCATGCACAATAGGTTTTGACTATATCTTGATGGCGCTGCAAGTGCGAAGAGATTGCATTTTGGGTTGCAACAGGGAAGCGCTGTTCTCAAACTCGCACATATTTGCTAATGTCCGCCACAAGCATCATCCGTAATGGACGTCGAAATCGGGTGTGCCGTTCTAAAACTCCTTAATAAACGAGTGGCATCTTAACATGGCATCCAAGCGCTTTCTGTGAAAAAGAAAATACTTTGGGAGACTATTGCAGGGCCATTCAAAGACCGGCCCAGTTCAAACCATAGTAACACTGTAGACAGTATGTTAGTATATCTTAAAGGGGCACTGACACCCCAAAGGTCGTATTTATTTTTATTGTCTAAAACGATGCAACGATGCAACGTGTCTATGACTGCAACAGTGATAGACACGCAAAAAAACCGCATCGCGAAAAAAAATTTTCTTGCGCGCGCGCGCCTTTTTATTTTTGGCGTTTGATTTTCCCGCCTCTCGCCTCCTCGCTTCTTTTGATCGGTGACGTCAAGAATCATGAAATTTAGAAGCTTTGTAGGCGACATCTCTATAACATTTAATTACGGCAATCCTAAAACATGTTTTTTAACGCAATTGCGAACGCACTACGGCCCTTCTTTTTGAAATACCAAAAATCGAGAGTTCGTTGTGGTGCCGTCTCCTGGATTTGTATCCTCCAATGGAAAACAGGCGACACCGCTCAAAACCGGTCCGCCGCAACGCCGCCGCTCGCTCCTTTCCTCCTCGCTTTGGGTCGCCATGGCAACAGCAGGGAGTGGTGAAAGAAAGTCGACTCTCAGGTCTCCGCAATTTTTGACGTCAAGGCACCGGCGCCGATCGCGCGGGAACTTCGAATTCGGCATTTGGAAATTGTTTTTTTACTTCACAAATACTGAATTCCCAAATTTCAAATTTTGAGGGTAATGTCCCGGCATCGTTTTCAATCGTTTCGGATAATAAAAAAAAATATGATTTTGATGTGTCAGTGCCCCTTTAAAACATAGATACAACACATTGTCTTTCTATTTCAACATAGCTAATTCAACTAACGTAACTGAGCCGACGGATAAGCGAAACGACGACGAGGACAAGGCCTCGGCAGCTCAAGAGGAAGGCCCACCTTCTTCCTCGTCCTCCGCTTTGGAACTCCCTTCCCCGTCCTCGGACCTGTCCTCCTCCTTTTTGGCTTTCTCCTCCTTGCCCTCCTTCCTCTCGGGCGATGCTGGCCGCACCTTTGTCTTGGTCTTCTTCATCTTCTTGGTGCGCTTCTTTGTCTCCCCTCCACTCTCCTCCCCGGGAACCCCAGAGTCCTGGTCGTCCTCACCTGTGCGTGCGATGACAAGACAGGTGGGATGACAGACCTTTAGGTGTCGTGGAAAGAGTTTTTATCATGCAGAATCACCGTTACTATCTATCACACCTCATTTTGAGGAATCCCTGACCACACACAAAGTCAAGAGATCCCAAAAAAGTAACGACACTGCCGTCATTTTGGCCCAAGGGATCAATAGACTCTCCTCCCTTACGGTCCGCGTGAGCCGGTCCAAAACTATGCTAACAAATTGTCATTAAAAAAATCGAAAAATTCTCACACACTACTATTCTGTTAGGTCTAAATTCCATCACAATGTCAGAACATCGGCAATTCTTAAAGGGGCGGTGCAACGATTTTATGATTAAAAGAATTTGCATCTCGTCATTTTTACGTTGTTTATCGTGTCCCAGAGGATAGATAAAACACTTCCTTCATTAAAAATGTCGCGATTCCGCTGCGTAATCGCAAAACAGAAGTCGAGCTTTTTCCCCCACCTGCAGCCCCAAGTGGCAGCCGAAGGAACTACCGCGGAAAGATTACGTGACCTCGCTCGGCTCTAAGCTGCAGCATAGCGCCCGCTAATGTACGCAGAGAGAGGGAGGGGAAGCGTCCTCCGAGATAGCACACGGGAAGCTACACGGCACTCCGAATGACGTCACTGGGAGTGCGACCAGGTGTGACCCTGAAGACTGGGAGTGAGTTGAGGGGTGCCCGAAATACCAATCTTTATCTTTTTTTTACGCAAAAACTAGGACGCGCAGGCGAAATCGGTTTTCTGTTCTCTACTTCAGAAGTGTCAGGGGGCAACTTCCAGAAATCTTTGACCGAAGTCCGAAAATCGTTGCACCGCCCCTTTAATAGATCTACGACACGAGTTTGGAGATAAGCCTTCTCCTGTTAGACAAAAGTGTGCAGCTTTACAATGCCACCACACGTGGCACTGGGGCACAGCAGGGAAGGCAATGTTGCTGCTTCCTTAGAATCGAGTGACCGTAGCCACGCCGATGTACAGCCGAGACAAACTTGAGCACCTTGGCACGTGCTCGGGGAAAAAGCACTCACTGCGGCTGTCGTCCGAGTCTGAGTCGGAGCTGCTCTGGTCGCTGGAACTGTAGGAACGGGAGCGGGATTTTCGTCCAGACTTGGAGTCTTCGTCCTCCTTCTTCGCCTGACTCTCATCTTCCCGGGTTCCTTCCGAGTGGTCGGGTGAGGGCAGCGTATCGCTTGCCTGGACAGAGCGCACAAACAGTCGGGCAACGTATAGCACCACAAAGCAACCGAGGCACCAGGCGGTGGGTGCTCCAAAGACCTTTTGGGGAAGGAACCACCCAGGGTTCAAACCCCACAATTTGCACTCTGGAGGCCGACACGGAGCCCCAATGCCACAGAGGCGATCACAAACAAACAGCCCAGCATTTTCTAGGATCACCGTTTCCTAAAATGGACTCCGATGAGAAAGGTTTCAGGAAGGCTGTCGCCAACAACAGATGCCCATACTTTTTTTTTAAGTGTCATTATTTCTTTATATTTTACAATTGCTTCTTGATGAACTTTTCCTGTGACACAAAAACCTGTTGCTCCTTCCTTTTCCATCACACAAAGTAGTTAATGAGGAACAGCAGCACAGATTAACCCTTCTGGTTCTCCCTCGTCTGAGACTCACAAGAGCCACCATAAAAGAAATGTGGCTGAAAAACAAAACTGTACCATACGCTGCTTCACCTTAAGAGGAACACCAAGAGACATCCGACCTAATGCAATGTGTGGCGCACATCCTACGACCTCATGGTCCTCACGTTGCTATGTTTGCGGCACTTGTCATGGTTCGCTTTAGAAAGAAACAAAAGATCACTAGCGGTTCGCAAGATAAATAGGTGGAAGAATACCTCACTGGGCTGTGTGGGCTCCTCCTTGACCTCGGCATTCTCTGTAGTTCCCTTCTCCTCCCTGGAAATATAATTGCAGCAGTTAGTACACACACACAAAAGAACTCAGGTGTAAATTTGTATTTAGGCTATTCCAGAGCAAACAATAGGCATATGCTAGAGCTGAGATATTTTCCAGAGCACTGCATACTGTCTGCAACATTTGAGCATTTCTTGTCTTTCTCGGGTTTCAAAGCCCAATCAACCAAAAATATGGCTTCAAAGCTTCAAACCTTTTGCAACATATGCCCTATGCTTCTTTGTGTCTGTTTGGGGGCTAATGCCATCTCTGCCACTTTCTTGATCTCCAATGCTCCCCAGACAGCAACGGTTAGTTTGTTAGGACGAGCAAGCAATTTTGGAAATGTGGTTATGACAGTGCCAGACTGCGCATCCAGATGAGGCATACGCTCTGCTCAGCAGGTCTTGTGCAACATTTTCAGAGTCGATGTTGCACGCGATCAACACTCTGAACTTGTGAAGTGCTGGATGAAACAATATGCCTACAATTCCCTTGTTTCGAGCACTGTACATAAGCGGTAAAGCGAAGCATACGCGGCACTCACTTTGGGCCGCTCACGGCCGGGAACTGCTGCGTCTCGACCGGCTTTTCCTCTTGGTACGGCTCGTCAAGGGCCTGCAGGTCGTACTCTGTCCCTCCTTCCAGAAGAATCACCACTGCATTTGACAGAAGCAAACATGCATGGTGCTTATACATTACAACTAAACCAGAAGCTAGATTGTCAGGACACCGAGCAAAAAGAGCGCAAATTCTTGAAAATAAATGCAGCACACATTAACTAATTACCTTAGTTTTTTTGTTTTTTTTTAATTCCTTTTGGCTTTTATGTTGTCATATGATAGCATTCCCAAAGACTGATCATTCTGAAAACTTCTTAGCACCAAGGAGAGGCATCGGTGGCCGAGCGCGTGTTAACACAAGGCTGCTCGGAGCCCGTTGGAGCGAAATCCCATGTAGCAGAATCCAGACATCCTGGATTCAGTTCCTAACCCTGCCCGTTTCGATTTGGATGAGCAAGGGCATTGTACCGGCGTGACACTGTGTATCACTACTGCGTGATGCACATTAAAGACACCAGGCCAGCAGTCATAGTGCACTAGCTAAATTTCTCATCTACGGCTCAGAAATCTTGTGACAAAACATCAAAGAAGCCATGTTTGCTCATTTCTGACACAAAATGTATAACCTTCAAAATGCTGTACATGTGTAAATTAATAGTTCCCACAATCTATTTTAAGTGCAAAATATTTGGGATTTTTTATATTTGTAGTTTTAGTAGGTGCCACCAAACATGACATAAACAAAAACTTCAAAATCAACTTAGAATGGATGCTCGGGCGAGTTGGGTATTCATGTTGTGGGAGAAGCGCTAAGTAGATTCACTCACCCTCAAACTCACACTCACACCAGAAAAACGGTCATTCACGTCGCGCTGACTTTCAACTCAAATTGTATTTTCGTCTTCTTTCGTTTTTCTTTTACCCGTCTTAAAATTGTCATCTCACTTCATTCTCTTCTGTACAAAACAATTAGCAATGTCTATCGCACATTACCTTCGAGAATCGAGAAAAAACAATTCTTTTTCCGTTAGCGTTATGGATGGACTGCTAACACAGGTGTCACTTCTTTTTATGATGTGCGCTGCCTCTATTATCTCACGTGTTAACTGATGATGGTTCTTTGCGATTATGGTGCTATTTTCGAAGTCCGCGGCGCACCCACAGTCACGGCAGTGAATGCCCAAAAGTCCTGAGTTAGCTAATCGGGTGTTGTTGTTGTGTTCCCTTAATCTGTCGTTAATACATCTTCCAGTTTGTCCTATGTATTGTTTGCCGCATGATAGGGGAAAGGAATAAATCACTCCTTCTGAGCAAGGTATGTATGGGGTTTTATCAGGCCTTTGTAAAAAAGTTAACGCCATACCAAAAACTAATACCGTCTGCACTAAAAAGCATAAAACCCCATACATACCTTGCTCAGAAGGAGTGATTTATTCCTTTCCCCTATCATGCGGCAAACAATACATAGGACAAACTGGAAGATGTATTAACGACAGATTAAGGGAACACAACAACAACACCCGATTAGCTAACTCAGGACTTTTGGGCATTCACTCCCGTGACTGTGGGTGCGCCGGGGACTTCGAAAATAGCACCATAATCGCAAAGAACCATGTTCAGTTAACACGTAAGATAATAGAGGCAGCGCACATCATAAAAAGAAGTGACACCTGTGTTAGCAGTCCATCCATAACGCTAACAGAAAAAGAATTGTTTTTTCTCGATTCTCGAAAGTAATGTGCGATAGACATTGCTAATTGTTTTGTACAGAAGAGAATGAAGTGAGATGACAATTTTAAGACGGGTAAAAGAAAAACGAAAGAAGACGAAAATACAATTTGAGTTGAAAGTCAGCGCGACGTGAATGACCGTTTTTCTGGTGTGAGTGTGAGTGTGAGTTTGAGGGTGAGTGAATCTACTTAGCGCTTCTCCCACAACTTCAAAATCAAATATGCCGTTCTGGCACGCTTAACAACTTTTTTTTCTCTTCAAATATGTTTCTTGCAAAATATTTTTTTATTGTTTCCTACACATGCTGAGGAGTAGCATACAAAAAGTGAAAGCCGTTTACAACTTCCTGTAACGCCGAATTGGAGCGCAGCTCTTGAGGAGGAGGAGTGGAGGGTATATTCCTCCACCTCCCTCGTGATCATGCCTGCTAGTCCTCCTCCCCTCCTGCTCCCCCTCCCTCTCCTTTACCACCTCCTCGTCCTTCAAGCTCCTCCCCTCCCCTCGCCTCCGCCTCCTCGTCTCTCCTCCCCCCCTCCTCCACCTTCGTAGTGCTTTCCTCCTTGCCGCTCAAGCCGGAAAGGGTCTTACGCGACCCTTTCCCCCCCCCCGAACCATACTAGACAATGAGGGGAGGAGGAGGAGGGGGAGGAGGAGGAGGGCAGAGGTCCGGGGGGGTCACGTGACCTCGAGGGGACGGGATCACATGACCTTGGGCGGGCCGTCACGTGACTTCGGCGGGGGGAGGGGAGTCACCCCCCGGGGTCACGTGACCTTGGCGGGGGAGGAGGGGGGAGGAGGAGGAGCGGAGAGGGAGGAGGAGGGGGAGGGGCGACGCCGACGCCGACGCCGCACAGGCTGGAAACGGGTCATGTGACCCCCTCCCCCCCGAGGTCACGTGACCCGCCCGGACCATACTACACAATGAGGGGAGGAGAAGGAGGGGGAGGAAGAGGAGGAGGAGGGGAGGAGGAGGGGGAGGAGGAGGAGAGGGAGGGGCGCGGTTACGCCGACGCCGACGGCGACGCCGACGCTGCTCAGGCTGGAAACGGGCCCCTAAGAGCTGCGCTCTAAAAAATCAACAAAAACAAAAAGTATGTCGGGACTTGCATGCATGATCTTATCTGAACAGAGACTGCAGCTATTTTTCCCCGAAGCTTTCTCCCTTAAACCTGTTTCTTTTCATGTCTTGCAAATCATAGGAGCACGAATCGAATCGTGCCTCACCTGCGTCAAGCAGCCTGACGATGCGATCCGATTTCTCGACGTCGATGCTGACGGCATCGATCCAGCCGGTCTCGTGCAGCTTGAGGAAGACGCCAAGCCGGCGTTGAAGAGCGTTCATCTGCTCCGTCTTGCGCTTGCCAAACTCTTCTGGGTGGTACTTGGACTTGAACCTGGTTCCAGGCAGCACGGGCAGGGAGAGGAGACCAGGGCAAAGCATGGACCAACAGCTAATACAGACTTCGTAGGGCACTGCTGGCCGCAAATGGCCTCCCTTTCTCCCTACGAAGGATCTGCTTCCAGCATTACTTTTATCTGGCCGAAATTGATAAGAGGCAGAATACCTGCTAAGTTTTATTAGATATCCCATGCTTGTTTCATCAATTTGTAGAGATAATGGCTTGAGCCGATAATTGCCATAACCATTTGAAGGCCCTTAACTTATGCAAATTTTCTATTTTCCGTGTGTAAAGAGACCAAGCTGAGTTACACTGCCTTCTGCGATGTTCCCCCGAAATTTGACAAAAACATGTGGCGAGGCATTTCAGAGCAGACCCGGTGCCCTAAATCTTCCTCAAATTGAGTATAGAAGGTGACTCAAGAAGCATATGGGCTGTGCTCAAATGCCCATCCAAAAAATGCTTTTCACCACTGAAACTGCACTAAGTTTGCTAGCATATCAGGCCAGCCCCAAGCAAACTGAAAGATGTAGCATACAACATTTGCCTTAACTGACTACCAGACACTCCAATAGGTGGTATTCACTGGCCACTGCAGCCGAGTCAGTTGCTGCTCAGAGCAGACTCGATGGAAGTTTTGGTTTAATAATTATCTGCCAAGAATGGCAAGTTGATGGTGTAAAGCACAGATAGCGGTAGGACCGTCAGCACAATCTCAGCACCAATAGGCAGTTTTAACAGCTTGTGAATACTACCTAAAGAACAACCAGAGATTAACGGTAAGGAAGTGACGAAGTCAGGAAACGACTCAACCCTAACCAAAAAAGGTGAACCATTTGGAACATCCCCTCACCATCCCCGCGTCAAGGAGGCACTTTGTCTGCGTTTTGGCAACACACACCAACACAAAAATTTTGAATCCTCACCTTCTGCAGAGTGGGCTTTTTTCTCTTCGGGCACACACAGAAAGTAAATTTTCTGATTTTGTGGCCACATAACGCGTGCCGAAACGAAAGAAGCGCGACGCCCGCCTGACCAAGCTAGCCTGCCAACACTGGTTTCGCCTAAAAGCGCTGCGTTGTGCGCAGCGCACCCTGCCCAGCTAGCCGCTACCGGCGCAAAGAAACGCAAGGAAGGACAGAGCTCTTCCAGGCGTCGGCTGAAAGGAAGAGCGTCACACGTGACCATCAGGCTGTCAGGGAGAGGCACACCAGTTACAGCAACAACAAGGAAACAGAGGGACACGACTGCCGGCTGCTCTTGCATCTCCCCGGCAGACGCGGGAGCTAGGAACTGCGTGGGCACATTCCGTCACTGGGGGCACAGAATTCAAGCAGATCCATACCTTCCGCTTCGGCCAGAGAGAAGTTCAAACAGACTACAACGTGAAACATTGTGTACGAATGAATTACCAGGAAGGACATAAAAATGTTTGAACTGCCAAAGAAAAAACAGAAAAAGAACTTTTGTTTCATCTACTCTGGTATGCTCCAAAATATTTTTTTTACCTTGCCTCACTTCTTGAACTTATCCCAACAACAGCAACTGTATGGAAGACCACACTAAATTGGGTGCAGTGTAATCAAATTCAATATGATAAAAGAACACATGCAGTCTTGAAAACCCTGCCCTTCAATGTTGCACCTCTGTTGAAACGGGATTACAAAAATGAGTCTGACTAACAATGTATACTAATAAAATGAAAGACCCGTTTCATTAATGCTAACACTCTCAGTTCATTACAACAAACTGGTTTTCATTCCTCGAGACTTCAAAGCCAAAAAGTGCTCCAATCACGACTCTCAAATTTGAAGTTAACAGTCCGGCACAACACCTTGCGCGGCTTATGTATAAGGCCTTGTAATAAAAATGTAAAAAAAAAAAGGCCTTGGAATAAAAATTAACGAAGCATACTTTAGTCAAGTGAAGCGATGTAGAACACTGAACACTTCCCACAGCTAAGCTCGTGCCTTTCCCCGACACCGTGTGCACTCGGTATGATGAGATATTGAAGCTAATATTTCTATACATACCTACTTCGTTTCACCTTATGATGAACCGCAGAGGAAGCTACAAGGCATCCAATGCCTGCCGAGTGTCGCATGACCATCGTGAGAGACGCAGTGATGTGCAAGGCGCCTCGTTACGTGTTACATTCTTGAAGCTGGATTGGCTGGGATGGCTTGTAGCGTTCGATGCAGTCCATCGTAAGGTGAAACGGAGTATTCCTAGCTGCTCCCAAAACAAACCTAGCATGCCATTGCATTCAATGTTTCCATAAAAAAATCTACACACATAATCCTAATCTAACCCGCTCAATTCAGTTCAAAAGCCTGCCCACTTTACCCCAACCGAAACAAAAGCTGTGGACATGACCTTGCAGAAAGTTCCTTTTTACACCAGCAGGTTACATTCACACCTTTTGCAAGTTGAGCATGAAGCATAAACCAAACATATCACAGTGATTAACCTCTAGAACTGAACTGCTTCGTCATTCTAATATCTTAGGCTCCCCCAAGGTTCCTGCGTATACTGACACACTTCAAGAGCCTCGACCCCGCCAAAAGCAGACGGCCTCAGTGCCGTGGAGGGAAGGCGCACTCACCACTCCTCCTCCTTGTGGTTAACGAAGAACTCGTTGAGTTGCTGCCTCCGGAAGTCCATCTTGTACTCGTTGTACTTCCGCACGGCCTCCTGATCGTCAATGCCGTCGTCTTGAGAGCCCAGGAACTGCTTGAAGGTCATCATGGGAGGCTGGGTCATGCCCCCTTCAGGTTCCCTGAGAGGGAACGAGCAACAAGCGTGTAGAGAATTGGTTCCCAAGCTGCATCCGAAGGTCGGTTTACACCTTTGTGTTGGACCATACTGAAGTGTGTTGAGTCTCCTTGTAACTTCTCAACTTTAATGTGCTAGATTACAGGGTATTTCTAACTGCCCGATAGGGGTTATATAGTTTATGGGCCACGCTTGCAATATGAGCTGCGGGGACCGGAGCGGGGCCAAGTCAAAAGCGTCAATCGTCCGCAAGCATCTCCACCTCTCTGTCCGTCTTCTTCCTCACCTCTTGACAACACAGTGCCTGTGCACATGCAACTGATAAGTGAAGGAGGCGTCCACCATTAAATTGCAAAAGCCCTCCATGGTTTGAGTCACTCCCTCTTAAATCTAGGCTCTCCACTTAAAGGGGCGGTGCAACAATTTGCGGACTTTGGCTAATTAATTGCGGGTGTTGATCCCGGCCACATATAAAACGAAGGACCGAAAACTATTCTTTCCTGCTTGCCCCAGTTTTCATTAAAAAAAATAAAAGAAATTGGTATCTCTGGCACCCCTCAACTCAACATTGAAGCGGCACCAGCTTCGCCTCTGACGTCATTCGGAGTGGCGTTGGTTTCCGGTTGGGTTCTTCTGGCTTCCGTTTCCCCAGCGCTCGCCGGCTCGCCAGGCTCGCCGCTCTCCCGCCGATTCCCGACCAACATGGCAGCATGGACGGACAGCCTGAGCGACGACGAGCGCAAGATGCTTGCGACGCGGCGGGCAGTCGAAGTCGAAGTCGAGGTCGAGACACCAGGAACAATAACGATACCACGATACTACGGACCACGACCAACGCACTCCGTCGAGCGAGGGAAAGACGAAACGTCCGGGTTGCTCGTGTAGCCGCCGTAGGCCCCTCGGGCACCTCGGGCGTCGACGGATGACCGGATGACGGCGACGGCAGGTTTTGTTGACTTGCGGTAGATGGCGCCACAAATAATTCATACCCTTTTAGCGGCAATATTAGGCTTTTGAAGCGTCTCTGCATGCCTAAACAACAAGATTTTTTAAACTTAATCTTAAATCAAGCTTACAATCGCCTAACACTATCACTTACAAAAACCACTCCGAATGACGTCTCACCACAGGTTCCATTTGCGGCCACCATGTGGCCGCAGGTTGGGAAAAATAGTGTTTTTTATTTTGCGATTACGCAGCGAAATAGAGGTATTGTGGGGTATGGTGGCACTTTTTCTCTTACTTATGCCGAAGTAAACAATATAAAAAATACAAGCTGCGCATTCATTCAGTGTTAAAATCATTGCACCGCCCCTTTAAGATACTGGCAGACTGGATCCAATTATTAGGTAGCCCTGGAATCCATATGAGCGTCATGTATATTTTTATTTATTTATTTATTCATGATCCTTTACGCCGTCATTCTTTATCCGTCAACTCGAAATAATTTGGACAACGTAGTGAGCGACCATTTTTCATAGGTCGTGCGTAGATTTGATCTCGCAAATACGGCAAAACCACCCGTCATATTACCACGCACGTCGGCGAGCGAGCGCGTGCGTGGCCGAGTGGTTACCGCGCTTGACTTTCGTGCGGAGGCCCAGGGTTCGACTCCTGGGAGTTAAGAGTCTTTTATTTATTCTTTCAGTTTAATGTTCTGGTAAATTCGAGAACGCTGTTGCTTGTTCGAGGTCCGAATGTTTTCTTCACACCGAACCTTCTACACCGATTGTTCCCCAAGCCAATGTGTCCACGTGGCGAACCGCAGTCAGTCTCGCCCCAGCGTTTGATCCTGCTGTTTCGCCACCATCGACGCTAGCCCTTTTCTATTTTGTTTTGGGCACAAGTTCGCCCATTAAACGTTTAGTTTGCTTCAGTTTTCGTTGCCTCATTAACTGTCATTCGTCACAATATGAAGTTCTAGGGCCACCTGGGGGACGATGCTGGCATGCCAGTACGTCTTCTCGTTGAAAGAACTTATGAGAAAACGCAACGCACTCGAGCACAGTCAGACCCAAATGTGTGAACCAGCCTTAAGATGATGCGAGAAGTTCTGCTACACGGGAGTCTTCTTCGCACATAGCTACCCCACTTCCAAGGACCCTTTCTCTACTCACAAGCTTGTATTCCTCGAATGCTTCAAAATCTTTGAGCAAGAAAGTGAATAGATTCGAGGACCTTGTACACCTCTTGCATTATGCCCGGATTACCCGAGGGTCATTTCTACGCTGGGCCCCAGCTCCCGCCCGTTCCTATGTGGATGGGCATCTTACCGGCATGTGGTTACCCAGCCTATACCGCGGGATGCACTTTAAAGTCTCCAGTTTGCCAGTCATACTGTACTGGCTAAAATGTTGATCTACAGCAGACATCAGATGCCATTTTAAGGCCTAACTACCTGCTGTCTAAACCTCCATAAAACTTTATCAAACTTAATTTTTCTGACAAAAAAATTAAAAAAATGCTGGTTCTGGGAAAGGTTTTTGTGAGAATGCCATATGATTGTTAAGCCATGAAGCTACTACATGGCTCCTATCTTTGTGTTGCTTTGCAAGAGCAAATCACATTAAACTGGCTCGTTTAGGACATGAAAGTATTGCAAAGAGTACTGCTTTTTAAAGGGGCACTAAAGTGGATTTTGAGATCATCTTTTTATGGTGTGAATACAATCTCTAGGCACCCTAAGCATCCTGTAAAAGTGAAAATTACAATCACATGTGATTTTTTCTTTCTTGAAAACACGACCAAACACCCATGACAAGCCCCCTTTCTCAGACGTCTTACGAAAAAGGAGTGTTGCGGTGTTTGGTGCTGGGCGTAGATTAAAAATTTTAACCTGATTAATTGCCACTGTTTATTTGATTAATTAATTGATAACCGTAATAATATTAGAGATGCCCCAACCCCAAAGGTAACCCACTCATATTTTGGGCACGATTTGTTACGCTGTTATTTGAAACACCAAAAGATAGCCCACTTATAATAATTGTAGGGCCCTGGCCAGTGATGACCTCAGTAGAAAAGGTGGTATTCAGCCACATCAGGAGAGAAGTGAACATTACTGACTGGCAAGGACAATCGTCTTTGGTTCATCTCCCTTCCCTACAACTTCTGTAGGTCACAAAATCTAAACCTATCATTTGCTCAAGCTTTTTTTTATTGCACATCAAAAGTTAGCTCCCTCCCTATTTCCGACCGATTTGCTTTCGATTTTAGGTGGCCTATCTCTCGGAATATTACGGTAATCAATTGCACTAAATTCCAGGCATAATATTTTAATTAAGGCAAAATTATGCTCTTTGCCTTTGCTTTTTTCTTTTACTGTGCGATAGATGGCACCATGCGTATATTTTCAATTAGGGATCAACTTTGATGTGTCTTTGAAAAACTGCAAAGAGCCTTAGAGCTTACTTCTCCAGCTGTGGAAGCAAGGAAGTTTGTCAATATCCTCCAGCAGGAACAAGCTCCTATGCTTGTTCGCAATAGTCGCTGCTGCGCTAAACAGACACTCGCTTGGTGTTGAAGCAGTCGGTTCAGATATAATATTCTGCCCTTGCTTCAGGTTGAAAACATCTCCCCTGCAGCTCACATTAAATTCAAATTTCACCTGAAGTTTGCCTTCATGCTGGTATACTCGTCCAACACCATGCAGTGCCTAATACTGAAGCAAGTAAATGTGGTGCAGGATATGCCCCCCTCCCCCGTCTTCCTTCCTCTGAAGAGAGTTATCAGCTTATATATAGAGTTGCTCATGTGTCCTCGAGAAAACCAACTGTAGATGAGGAAACTCGTTAAAGGAAGGTACAAAGTGTGAACAACTATTTTTCCCGAAATTTCCAAGTAAAATTTAAAGAAAAACTTATGTTGTGCTTTTGACTATTTCTGACTAATCTGTCGCCTTCGCTGCGCATAGCTTTGACTATTCTGGACTCCGCAGTTATTGAAGGGTTCCCAATGATTTGCTTCTAGGGCAGGGACGGTGTCACGCATGGGACAAGGAAGAGCTCACACCGGGCCTTGCGGCTATCACAGGGCCTTCCTCCTGTGTGTTGTCGCTATTTTTACAGAAACTTCAGTCAGAGGAATGTCCAAAATTGGCCCCGTGAATCTCCAGTCTCTTGTCCAGCAAAGCTGCCCAGAATTTTCTGTCAAACATCCGCCATTTAACTATGCAACGCGTGCCTCTCCCATCACCTTTGGGAGGAACAAGAACGTCACCGGTAACAAACTTTGGATACATAAAATTCATGACCAAAATTACTCGACTACTAACAAACTTAAACAAAATCTGTGGTCAATTTTTTTTTCAATTACAAATTTTTTAATAAAAAAACGTGTTTTTTTGTTTTTTCAGAATTTGAGCGATTAACCGGTTAAAATCTTTGATCACGATTAAAGCATTAATTGAATAATTGGAATATTAATCAATCAATTCTTTAGCCCTGGTTTTCTGCGATACTTAGGGCAGATAGATTGAGTTTGCACCATAAAAAGAGGATCTCAAAATCCACTTTAGTGACCCTTTAAAGGGATGGTGAACCGAAATTAGGCTTTAGGGAAAAACAATGCAGGAGATGCAGGCGGGACGCTACAATCCCTACAACACACTCGTAAGGCGATATCTCGAATGGACGGCCATATTTTTGGAAAAAGAGGTCGAGATTGAACGAGGCCGACAAGGCGCGTCAACATATCTTGTTTCCTCCTCTCTTCACTTCGCTCCCTCAAGGCGGCGGAGCAGAGAAAACGCGAGGCTATTCCCTCTCCTTCTCGGAGGAGCATGACGTGAACATCTGTCAAATGTGCCTCCTTTTCTTGAAAAATATGGTCATCCGTTCGAGATATCGCTGTATAAGTGATGTTTTGGTGTTTGTAGCACCCTGTTGCACGCTTGTACTACATGTTTTGTGGAATCAAAATTTCGGTTCAGCATCCCTTTAAGAGTCCTGTCGTATGTGCGCCATTTCGTTTTCCTTGTCAAGTTCGCGGTATTTTAATCATGTCTTTGCATGGAATCTGGTCAATGAATCTATCATTGAGAAAGTGTTGATAACCACATATTTCTCTGGTGGAATGCATACTGGAATACCTGTTGCCGGTTGCTATAAAAAGAAATTTTCAAAAATGTGCAATTCCCAAATAAAAAAAATTATAAAAAAAAAAACCCCTACTTTTACCAAGTTTTGCAACTTACTATTTTTCATAATAAAGGGGCATGAAAATGCAAAACATAAGTTCACAGGAACCAGATCCATAATATTTCGGCATATAAGCTGCAAATATAAAAGTCTCTATAGTTTCACACTGAAACAATAGTTTTCCTAAAGTGAAATTTATGCCAAAAAGCGGAACAACGGAAAACGTGTTAAAGGTGCTCAAACCTCTACCTCTTTTGTAGCATCGGTGGACTGAAAAGAACTTATAAAAAAATAACTATGCTGTGTAAACAAATTATACTTTCTGTGAATACTTTCTGGATGTTGATGGATATAAGTAGTATGGCATTTTTTTAATCAACTTTTTTTGCAGAAATTTGTTTTTTCTGGGTAGTGTCACCCTTAACCCTTTGACAGTCAATATTTTTCCCCAAAAAATGTTTATTAGTTGTCAGCTTTCGTTTTCAAAGGAATAGTAAGAAAGGATCAATGCACATTATTTTTTTCCTTAATTATCTGGAGGGTGCATGTACAATGCTTGCAAGCTGTTCAGGTTTAGAAGTATGAAATGGAAATATTGAAGGTAAAAAGCTGTCCCCTTTATTCCATTCGGTTTTATCTTGGCGCGTCGGCTTCCGTGACATTCCGACCAATTTTGGATCCCGAACCAGGAGTACATTAAAGAGCTTCTTCATCGGATGGTAAGCTCTCGTGCTCTGAATCTAATTCCGAGAAGCATTAAAAGTCTGGATCAAAAGAGCCGGCGCTCCAATCGCCACTACCGCCAGAGCAGCCCACATGCGATGTGACAATCTCACGCGTCTCGCATACACGGAGCGTCTAATTTCAAAACCCTAAATGGCCCCGGCAAAGTGAAACGCCATGCGAATATAATGTTTACAGGCTACCAAAGACGTAGCAAATAGCAATACCTCCCACGGTGCGCATGGTTTGGCGCTTAGGCACCAACTCTAAAACATGCTATTGCCGCCGTACAAAGACAACCGTAGAAAGGTTAAGGATGTCGCCCGAGAACACCATCACGTCTTAGTCGAGATGTGGCGTGTCCCACGTCTTATTTACATGACGTACGCAGTACAAGAGGACATGCAAGAGAAACAGGTGTTAGCAAAAGTAGCCTAGGCACAAAGGTGCTAGAGTATAAGCCACAGAAAAAACGAGGGAAGAGTTGAAAACCAGCCAGGTGGCAATGCTTACGCAGGAGCTGCTCTCGTTATTTATCAGATTCCAGATTTGGGTGCCTATCACGTTGCGAGAGATGTTGAAACAAAAACGGAGACGTGTTCCCGAAAGTATGAGTGCATCTCAAGGCACGTACGAAGGTCGGTTCACACATTTTTGTTTACGACAACTCGGAACAGTTTACGTCGAGCGAACACACTGGTGCATCAAGTAACTTTGGAATACTTCCACATATATTTTACACATTATTTTTTCCGCCGTTGGCACGACTTAATTTTGACAATGCTACGAGAGACCATTTCCCACAGATACCGTGTAAATTTGATCTCGCAGATGTTGCAAAACCTTCGGTCTACTCGTGTGCAGACCAGAAGGGTTTCGGGGCTAAGAATGACGCCAGCGTGCCGGTGCGTTCTCTACAGTCAGAAACAGGTTAAGAATCCTGTAAATGCTCCAACTTGAATGCGAGCCCCCTGCCTTTGATAAAACTTTGTTGCTCGTGCAGCCAAAGACCGGCGAAAGGTAATGAGTGCGTGCAGAGCATCTACCGGGTTCTTAAACTCTCGCCGACTATGGTGTTCTTTCGTCGTAGGCCGTCGCAAGCGGCCGTGGTGCAGTCGATCGAAGTCGAAAGCAAACATGCAAGCTGGTTCTTATTCGACTCGTATTAGCTACGTCCATAGAAGTAGGACACTTCTGGAGGTGACATGATGCCACCAGAGGTGAAGCCAGAAATGTGGAGGGACATGCCCCTAACAATGACCGAAACCAAGGGACGCCGCTGGACGAAGAGGAGAGCTGACTCAACAGCTGTTTTGGCCACCCTCAGGGCCCTCTCCTTTTCGTCCAATGGCGTCTTTTGGTTGCGGTCATCGCTGGGGGCGTGTCCCTCCCACACATCTGGCTTCACCTCTGGTAGCGTCACATTGCCTCCAGAAACTTCCTACCTCCATGGCTACGGCGAGTCAGGAAGAAATGTTAAGGCGTCGCGAGGAAAGCTCCGCGCACCGGTGTTAGGATGCGTTAAGCAGGAGTGTGGGCCGCCTCACCTTTGGGGGCCTCCTGCGGCCATGTTGTGCGCGTAACCCCCGGCGTGCTGGGCGGCTGCCATGTGGACCATGCCGCCCATGTCCTGCGGGGGGCCACCCCCCCAGGGACCCCCTGCCCCCGGGTGGTGGCCCCCCACAGGGAAGCCCCCACCTTCAAAGCCACCATAGACACCACGGTCCTCCCTGCATGCAGACCCAGAACCCACCCCCAACCCAAGGGCCCTCAGCCGGTTGTCACTTCTCGAGAGCGCACCCCGAGGCATCCGTGGACGCACAAACCTTGGCAGGCGTAACGCCTGCCAAGGTTTGTGTTTACTGTGTTTGAGACACGACTTCGACTGGTGTGTTTACCGCCCCATCTCGCCCCTGCCTGCGTCGAAAGTGATCCCGAAGTGGTAACGGATCGCGTCACAGGAACCGGGTTGTCGTGCTGTTTGACGTTGCGACCCTGGTCGTAAAAATGCTGGCGGAGAATGCCCTGGCACCAGCTCGCAGAGAAAGAAAACAAAAACCCTTGAAACTACCTTAACCTGATGCGGTACAGGAGTTTGCTTCGTTTTTTTCTCCGCTTTTCCGTCTCTCTCTTTTACATTCTTTCTCCGGGGAAGCCCAAAGCATTCTCATTTCACGGAGCAGAGAACAGCTGCACTTCTCAAGATGCAATGTTTTAATTTACCCCCGCCGGGAATGACACGGAGGTGCTCGAGAAAGGGGTTCGGCTGACACTGGTGTCCAATTGGTAAGAAGACGAGCGCTGTGTCGGCGTTCAGCCGGCCTGTCGACTTTCGTTGCTGGAACCTAACCACATATGGTTAGGTGCCAGCCATATAACGCATTCTGCATTAAAAGACGACCTCCATTGCCATGCCACCGCCAGGACGATCGCAGGCAACAGCGTGACAGTTTTATGACGTTATCGGGCGCAAATCGAGGGACCACTTTTGAGGATGCGGTAAACTTGCCAATCGGAGACGTGTTCCAGGCACCAAAGCGTTACCGTGGCTTACCGAAGCATTTCGGTCGAGGGCAAGGTGCCAGTAACATTTGGTCCCAGAAAACAATGAACGAGCAAACATTGTGCTCCTTTGTGTGTGCAAGTTTTGGGCATGAATTAAGTACTACCAGTACACCACCACTGACGAAGTTCCTAGGACACGTAAGGGCGATTTGTAGAACTCGCAGAGCATGCGTCCAAGGATGTCTTTGAGTGCCTCGATGAGGCATAAGCATGAGAGTACTTGGCAAGCTGCAGAAATCTTTCCCGAAATGAGGTGAAACTAGAATTTATTTTGCTACGTGGGCATCGACAGTTTGAATGACATGCATTGAAATGTTGAAACTAAGTTCTTGTTATCAAACTGAATTAGAAAATAATGAAAAGGGAGCGCTTAAAGACTGAATAGCAAAATCTACAGAGGACATTGGACAGCATTCTTCCAATATTTAAGTACCAGTTTGACTGTAATTTAAGTGCAGGTTTCTATTCTACTAAAATGAATAACTTGATAGTCAGATAAGAGGATCAGATATCTGTTCTAAAGTCCAAATAAAAAATTACAATGCTTACATGTTGCGATTTTCAATACTCTAAAGGAGCTAAATAAAATGTTTCCCAATAAAATCATGCTGCTTAGAATTAATAATTTTTGCCAACCCTCAGGGCCTAGGGAATTTCAGAGGGCAATGGGCCTCATATTAGGAATACAAGTTACACAGTGACAATCAAACAAAACAAAATTGTTAGGGCTCATTATAACAATTATTAGTAAAGTCAATTTAAATACTCGTGTAATAGCAGAGTTTGGCTATGGCTGCAGGAAGGTGATTCCGACTTAAATTACGAGGTGCTGGGAAGAAAAGAAGCATATAAACATTTTCTGTTATAGAATAAAGTGCTAACTTTATGATGGTGATTTATACACACCTGGTAATTGAATCTCTTAGTAATTTAAATAAGAAATACATTTTTGTGATATGTCTCATGCAGCAAGCATGGACAAAGTACTTTTCATGGTGTGAAAGATGAGGTAATGACAAGCTTAGTCTGCCTGTAACTCATGGTTGAGACTAATGTATATTATGTGTAAAACACAATACCTGGGTCTCGTACGAAAAAGACTTGCGGAATCCATGCTGGGTAGAAGTAGACAAAGAATTTTTCTTGAAAATGTTTGCACAATGGGAACAAAGCGGGTGTCAAGAATTTTACACAGTATATGTAAAGATCTTGCTGTTTCTTACACCTGGATGAAAAAGATATAGAAATCTTACGTGGCTCGCAAGCACATTCAGAAGCTAAAGTTGCAGAATCCTATGGTGCAGTGGCAACTTAACACTGTAGGTGGTTTGTGACACATGCAATTGTTTTCCGCTATGTACAGTGCCTGGTGCTGCGTGTTTTGCCATCACATATGGTAGGCTAGCGAGACTTTTAACTAATCCCCAGTTAACACTGAATCAGATGGTACACACTTGGGATGAAAGCTGCTAGTGTTATGCATCGCGCAGCATTCATTTGGGTTAGTTTTGACATGCTGGAACAATAGACGGACAGATTGTAAAACACAATAGCACCACATATGTCTTCAGCCGTGCAAGCTTGGTTGGAGAAACCTGCAGCTCCCAGCAGGCACATGTCGCATTCTGAACTGCCCAATACAACAGACTTAAATGAGTGCTGGGGCCCACGACTTTCTGAAGATTACCTTGTACATGCCATTTCCCAGCCTCCTCTCCAAAACTGTTAAACGCATCTCCATGTCCCACAAATAACAGCCTTTATTTCTCGATATGCAGGGCAATCTAGCAGAATAATGAAAGGCAGCACACTTGCGCACCTCACAGCATGCACAAAAAACTGCAGAGAGTTTTGGATGCCGACTTGTAGCGGAGAATCATATGGTTCGCTGATTAGTGCTAGCACTTTAACAATTTGCCTGCCTCGCAAGTGCAATCTCGCATGTTTGCAAACTGTAACAAGATTATCTGCAGACGTATTTGCAGTATGGATGTTTGGAGGCAGAGGCTTATAATTTTTAAAGTGTTGCCCTTCCGCCTATTAATGCTGGCAAAGAACGAGGCATTAGGCGCCCAGCATCCAGGTGACAATGCGACTGTATGGGACAGTTTAAAAGAATAATATTTCGTGACTGAAACATCCTGCTAGAGTTCGCTACGACAGACGATGGCGGCATCCCTTCTAAGATGAAAGTCGTGAAGAGACCAAAGCTGTTGGAACAGGGTAATTCCAACAAAAAGAACACCATAAAAAAACACAAGGCCAGAGTTAAAAAAATTAACAGACAGTTCTACCTCTCTTTGTGCAATTTCTACAGTGTAGTTTTCGCATGAAAAAGCATGTGTTTCTACGACAGCAGTTGCAAACCAAAGCTGCTTACCAGTCTCGCCGCATGCGCTTCACGGGTGGACTCATGTCGTGCCGTGGAGGGCTGTAGCGTTCCCCGCGCCGACTCCTCACGTCATAATCCCTATAGTCTCGGCGGCTCCTTGCATCTCGCGCGCTCCACGAGTCTCTGTGATAACAAATGGCAAAACAACATAAACTGGGCTCTTTCCTCCTCAACAACAACAAAGATCTTCGCATTGTCCAAGACAATGAGACGACATCATGCTCGACACGTGCCTCCTCTCAAACATGCCAGAAGTAATGCTCCAAGTTATGGTTTTCCAGGCAAATCATAAACGCTGAAAGTATACCATTTTCATGAACCCCTTCTTAGAAAAAAAGACTGTGGTACAAAATATAACTACCGTGAAATCCCAAGAGATAGCCCACCTAAAGTTGAGAAAAAATTGGGTGAAAATAAGGAGTGGGCTAACTTTAGGCGAGCAATCAAGAAAAAAAAATGTTTTTCTGTCACACACGTTACAGCGGCGAGGGGTAATGAAGTAAAGATGACTGTACTTCCCAGTCAGCAATGTTCACTTATATCCTGCCACAGCTAACTAGACGCAATTCGGCCAAGGTCATCGGTGATTTGAACACCATGATTACTAGGAGTGGGCTACCCTTTGATGTTTAAAAGAAAATAGCAAATCAAGTCAAAAATAGGGGTGGGTTACCCTTTGGGGGTGAAGCATCTCCCCAGATTTTACAAGAAAAAAAAAAAGTCTTTTTTTTTTTCCACTACACTGCAAAGGATGGAGAAAACAGAACTGTGTTTAACTTACCACAAAAATAAACTATGTATTGCTGATCGCTCAGAGTCCAGCAATGGATAGTTTTTGCTATTGCTGTTAGCTACTTGTTAATATCGCTTTCTTTGGAAAAAAATATTCAAAAAAATTCTAAAAGGGAAATTGGTATACAATGTCTGTGAATACATGGAGACGAACGGAGTCTGCTAAAAGGGACAAACCCCATTTCCTCATTCAAAAATTAAAAAAAAAAAAATTGCTCACATCTTTTTTTTAATTTGAAGACAGTGGTAAGCTCCGAAACTTTGCCACCCGGCCCCAACCACTAGAGCTATGTTTCGGAAGAGGCCGAGCGTTCGGAAATCCATAGTTTATTTCTGCAACAATAAACATCGCCATTCTCATTTCTCCCAAACGCCCAGCACACCGCAACCGGCAAGGTACGCATAATAAAGTGCAGGTTACAAATGGCCCAAGTTTACCGCTCTGGCCAGTCGTCGCGGCCCCGACTCCTGTCGTCACGACGTTCCTGGTAGTCGCTCCGCTCCCGTCGAAACTTGTCCCTTCCACGTCGCCGGTCGTACTCTTCGTCACTGTCACCCATGCTCTAGGAAACAGAAAACTTTTTCGAGAAAACAAGCAACAAATAACCTGCAATAACTAAATCCACATTGCTTACACTTCATACAAAAGGCATGGTGTTCACTGTGGACACCGCTCAAGCACACAGAGTCCCTGACTCGAAGACGCTGAGGATTTGAATTTGTGCTGTCCTTCTCTTGCCTCAGTCTCGGAGTTTTTGTAAGTTCGTTCGCGCTCTTAGCCTTTGCTCGTGCGATTACTTCCTTCTTTCCCACGATGGTATCGCAGGCCTGCACTCAAATTTTCTGTAGAGTGAGATACGGTGGTACTTCTGGTTATGCTGAAACGGCCATCATGCCCCAACCAAAACCTCAGAACAGCAATTCACGTTTCTCTAGATACCTAGAGATGCTTCCCTAAAGAACTTAAAAGTCGGGTGGCACTACGTTGGTCGAACGATGTTTTAGGGAACGCCGAATTTTCATCGGAAGACACTTTAGCGAATAGTTGGCCGCCGCCAAGCGGCGTTGACGGGTGGGCCAAGTGGGTTAGCAATTTTCTAATGAGCCACCGCAGACTGCGCCGCGAAGCGGCGTGAACGCAGCGCGGGGGAGGGCTGGTTTTACACGCGCCTCAGTTATTCGCTAAAACGTCGATTCGCTGAAATGGTGATGTTCGCTAAAACGTCGTTATCATACCCAAAACGACAAGTACCATTGCCCCAAACGCAACAGGACGATTACACTTTTCTTTTTTTTATATATAACAACGGATGCGTAAAATCATTGCGCAATCTTCTCGAAAGTCAAGAAAATTGCGGCAGACTCAATAACAACTTTTGTAACATTCGTTTTCACACGTCCCCAACGCTGCAAAGCGCTACGGCACGACCGAACCTCGAAAGGCCCTGCGAGCGGCACTGCTGTACGTGTAAATATTAGAGTACGATATGTGCTGCAGGTGCTCGCCTAAATATTTCCTCCGTCCTAAAACTACAACTTTTTCATTCTTGCCGTGCGCTTGCAACTATTTCACGCGACCGGTGAGGCTCGTAAAAAGCAGCTCGAACTTTAAAACGCACCGGCGGATTTTCAATGGAGCCATCTTAGCACGACAAAACTGCAGTCGTAAATCGAGCACGGGGGAACACTGGGCGTATGCTCGCCGATTAAATAATGGGTATACGAAGCAAATACCTTGAGAGGGGGAATGAGATGTGGCCAGGTAAAAAAACGTTACTCTTTTTAGCGGTAAATCCAATTTTTTTTATCAACTACAAAGATCGCGTGGACGAACAACAGCCTTGATGGCGCTCCTGGCGCTCAAATGTATCTTCTGATTGGCTGAGAACGGGCAAAAATACAAAATTTTTTTGTGCTGTGTTCGTTTAGCCTACCTAACTCCCCTTGTTCACTGTACTCGCTCTTCAGCTAAAGCTCTGGCCGAACAAAAATGCGTATCTGACGTCAACAGATGCTCTAAAATCACACTTAGGGTAACCGAGAGTTTTCCAGAGTAAAAAAACCCCAACCACCTCGCTTGGATACTTGCTTTCTTTGAAACCTTTTGAAACAAATTAATGTTGTTTTTTATACCTATTTTTTTTTGTTTTACCACCGTTGTGTTGAATATAAATATATAAATATAAATAAATGCGATTTTAGCGAACCTCGTGGTTGTTGAGAGAACGTCCTTGTCACGTGACACGCCGCACCGATTGCTTCGCCACCTGCTGAGAAAACGCTCAAAACGTTAACGGTCGCCAATGTTTTGGTTGCTGTCGCGGGGCGGCGCTGGACTGCAAAGCCGCCGCAAAAAGGAGCCGCGAAGCTGACGTCGACGGTCGGCACTGTATTTTATCTCTTTTTAATCCTGCCCTCCCTCCCATCTGTCTCTTCTGCGTTCTCTCCACCTCCGATAAAAGTGTTCCGCTGTTGTCGAGCGGCAGTCAGTGCACGGATAACTACGGAGGCGATAGGTTGTTTTGAAATTCGGCACGCACTGTTTTGAACTCTCAAGACGAACTCCTCGGAGCAGCTGTGTTTTGCAAACAAAGGAGGCCTCTGCAAACTGCACTTTTCGTCCCGTCTCACGTTCGTCTAAAAGGCAACGCCACGGATTCGCCAGACGTCATGCCGCAGCAAAGCCCCGATGTCGTGTTGTCGTACGGCCTAGGCTCCTTCGTCCCCGCTTGCGATCTCCACCCGAAGGCGGGCGATCTGATCGAGATCGACCGGACCTTGTACGCTCACTGGGCCCTGTGCGTGGGCAACGGCAACGTGATCCACGTGGTGGGACGCAACGAGGAGGATATTCCGACGGACTTTGCCTATGTGCACCTGAGCAAGCTCACCGACGTGGCTGGCTACAGCGGCGTGCGCGTCAACAACAAGGTGGTGCGGGCCAAGGAACGCGGACTGCTGCCGTCGTCTCCCGCCGAGATCCTCGAGAGGGCGTGTAGCATGCTCGACCGGGAAGTCGAGTTCAACTTCCTCACCCGCAACGGAGAGTACTATGTCACGCTGTGGAAGTTCGGCCACGGATGGAGCGACCAGGTGAGATCGCCGTGACCGACTTTATAAACTCCCTACGGCCGGACCAGCTTGCCTGCTGTCCGCTCACTTCCCGTGCTGCGGTTTGCGCGTCACGCATCGAGCAGACGACAGGTCGGCGGCGTCGTCTGCTCCATAGTTCTGTCGATTGGTTGTGTGCAGGCAAATTCGATCGTGCTCTCCTAAATCCCTAAATTAAGTCTTCGCTCAGATATCCGCTTCCGTCTCTAGCGTCTGATAAAACATTGGTGCGGCACCAGGGAACTGCGGAAAAAGCAGAAGGCAGCATCGACAGTCTTGGTGTCGACTTATTTTTCCGCAGTTTCTCTACAAGAGCTGCCCTCGTGACCTTTTTGCCTGAGGCTGTTACCTAGCCTTCTTCGTGTCGTTTTTTGATGCTTTGGCGCTGAACCCTTCTGACATCTTGTGTTTTTTTCTCTTCCGCAGGCCGACGTTACGTTGAGTGTCATGAAACCTCTGGCCAAGAACCTCCAAGTGGGCCACACCACCTTCCTGACGAGCCTGCAAGCCGTTTTCGGCACGCCGACGTCGGGATCCATCACCAGGATCGCACCGCGGTCGCCGAGGACGCCGCAGAAGACGGCAGCTCCCGCAAGCGTTGCGTGAGCACGAACGAACCTTGTGCCAGACTGCCTCACCCGAAGAGACTGATTCCACTTGAACGCTGCGTGTGTATGTGTGTGGGATGTTTGAGGAACGGGTCATCGAACCTTTTGGCACGTATGTCTTTTTTTTTTTTTTTTTTTTTTTTTCTTCTTTGCCGATTTGTTAGAGAAAATGGAATGAAGAGCGTGTCTTGGGCGATTGTTTAGGGTATCTTTGAAGGTTTTGACACGAGACAGCATCTGAACCCATATTTCGAGTCTTCGCAATTTGAAATGCGGCACAAAATTTCAGTTGCGACGGGTTAACTCTTTTTGTTAGGCTCTTGTGAAGGTGGAATGGGTAATGCCATCTCATCCCATTTCGTAAAAAAAAAAAAAAAAAAATCCTAACGCGCAACAGGGAGCAATGTCCCCATGATATGGATCTCGTCGGGGCACTGTGCCTAAGTAGTTGAGTTTCGGCAGCTCGTGTTACAAAAATGGTATAAATCACATCTTTTTTTTTTTTTTTTTTTTTAACGATGACATGCGATTTAGGGTTTCAGACGAAAAAGCAAGTTGCTGTCTTCCTAGTCATCCATCAGTATGCGAATGTTAATTTAAAGGCAGGATCTCGTGCATTTTCACTTTGCAAAGAGTTTAGCTTCCTAGCAAATTTTGTTCCTTCAATTTTTTCTAGTTTTTTTACAAACCAAGCAATACAAAAGAGCGCTAAATGCATAAAATAATCAAAATACCTTTTCTTTTTTTGTTGTTTTCGTAGCCCGAATTTTACCCGGCTGCTCAACAGATTGAAAATGGGGTGGTTAGGATCGAGCGTCTTTATTCAAAATGCTCTTCCCTGAACCTTCACATGTCATCGTCAACTTTCTTCTTGCCCTAGCATTGTACATGTTTCGTAAATTTCTGAGCGTTGTACATAGCGGCGACTAGCGCTAGGCGTTGCGCGTGGATTGCACAAGAACGACCCCGTGCTGAAACTGGGACACAGGCAACTTGATATTGCCGGGCGCAATATCGTTTTGAGACCAATCTTTTCTTTCATTATTTTTCTTTTTGTATCCCGAGAGATGCCCTTCTCTTTCGCGCGCCGTACCACACTCTACAAGTGCTTATAGACGGCTCTACCGTTTCTTTTGACCGGTGCCGCAGTATTTCATTCAACGACTCCCTGCATGCGAAATTCCACGCGGTAATCGAACAAAAATCAAAACACTCACGCGCGTCAAGGACTTCTGAGATAACCGCCATAAAGAATCACTGCCACTATTATTATTATTTATTATTATCACCCGAGCAAGGATCTGAGCTATCCTTGTAGCAACGTCCAGAAAAGAAGGGGAAAAAATCGAAATTTGCGGTTAGGATTTGACAATTCGTGCTTCAGGTCTCTTAAATTGACCGAGGCATAGACCAATAATTCCACAGATAATTCGTACATTTTGTGTTTGAAATGTCGCAGTTTGTGAGAGCCCAACGGTGGTTTCCATGTTTTGTTTCTTGAAGATGGCTCCCCCTTCAAACACCTGTTCCGCTCGTTAAATCATCTGTTATTGCGGGGCATTTCCAAATTCTTGTTTTTGTGTTATTTTTGTTACCCGCAATGTTATCGCGAAGCTTTACATACGATGTGCCTTGCGCATTTAGTGAGAAACTTGCTTCCAACGTTGAACGAAAGTCGTTGCTGTTAGCCATAACTTTTTTTTTTTCCACGCAGAAGCGAAGTTTTTTTGTTTTTTTTTCCTGCCGTTTTTGTGAGTGAGAAGTGAGAGAATGTTATATAATATATTTTCATCTGTACATAACGTCTGTTCACCATTGTCACCGTGTCATTTACCTCTTTTGTACATAGCTTATTAGCGATCTCGTTCGAGTTGTTGTTGTTTCGAGGTTCAGAAACAATAAAAGATACGTTACTTCCAATGAATTATCATGCCTGATGTTTCTCTCTCCGGCGTCTCTGCAGCGCAAACCTGTGGCACGGCGAACAATCCCAACAAGACCGGTTTGACGCGGTTTTCCTGTAGCAATTTATAGCCTTCATTTTGTAACCTAGCGGCTGGATTGTTACAAGGTGGGGAGTCCTGTAGCAAATTTCGATAAACTGATTATGGTCCAGTGGGAATACATTAGCCACTTCGATTTTGATATAATTTAAGGTCACATGCCCCCGGGCAATTCAGTCCACGATGAAATATATGATATTGGGACGCTCTTGTTTCTTCTTTGGCCACTGTTCATACGTGGTCGCCTTTGTTGTAAATTTTACTCGCATCTCGCTTTGGAGTATAGGTCTCGCATCCCACGGCTCCCTATGGATGGATGGTATAGTGACTTAGCTCTTCACGTGGCACTCCTCGATAGTCGAGCATGATTAGAATATACTCCGCGAGTCATTTCATAGCTTACATAAAATGCCGCATGTGATATCCCTTCGCCGCCAGCATTTCAATCAGACATCTAAAGTTGCAAGATATCCATCTTTGCTTGACCGATATACGCCGCCCATCTTAGGTCATCGGGATCATTTTATAAAACCATAGCTGCGGCAGGTCTGCAAGTGCGTCTGTAATACATTTTCGAGTTTCCTTGGGGATCGATCCCATTTTCGACGTGCACGGAGGAACCGGTTTGCTGATTTCTGCTCATTGTGAATCTCACGAAAACTTAACTCCTCTTCATATAGTACACGACCGTGAACAACGAGAAGGACCAACGCGTGATTTGGCTCTGCGCCGCGCTAGACTGTTCGAAAACTAAAGCACGCCCTGAATATTGCAGGGCTGAAATTAAAGCTTCTCGAAGGGCAGTCCCAACATCTGTTGTCCCGCGCTATCTTCTTACAAGTGCTTGATGGGAGATTCACCTATCTGTACGCGATTGCGAACGCGCGGGAAAGTATACTTAAAAGCTACAGGTCAGTTATTCTGCTAACTTCAGCAAGTTGTTCTTGACGGTGGTTTAAAAAGCGCAAAGGACTAAGAAGAGAAGGAGGGGACAGGGCAGAGCGCTTTTTGAACCACCGTCTAGACTCTAGAATGTTCAACCAACTAGAACCCCAATTAATTTTGGTGAAGTTGTTCTGCGTTCTTGCTTTGCACGTGTATAGGTGTGCAATTCTAAAGAGTATTCAAAGTCAGCAACGCGGGGTGTTTCTCTTTGGCGAACATAACCACGCGCCATAAAACCTACCAACCAAAAATAGAGAAAAAAAAAAAACGAAAAAAGAAGGGCTTTGTGTGTGTGTGTGTGGGGGGGGGGGGGGGGGTGCTTCTTTTTAGAAATATAAATATTTGGAGTTACGAAAACCTATATTTTTCGCTTAATACGCTATGTGCCAACGTGACTTCCTTTTTTTTTTTTTTATTGTGTTTGTATTAAAGCGGTGCTTTCCGTAAACTGAAAGAACGACGACGCCTCGGAAGGAAACAAAGATGTCGGCGGAAAGCAAGGAGGTGTGCAGAATCGCGCCACGGAAGAGTGGCGTGGTTCTGCGCCCCGTAGCTCTTGTTGCTATGTGGGAGGACACCTGAAGAGGTCTCTTCTCCCGCCGAACGAGTCAGCCATTCCACAGTATTGTTTGCGGACCACCTGTCGCGCTCCGCTGCAAACGCAGCTGCTCCTCTGCCGCCATCTTGTTTTTCTTTGTTTTGTTTTAGCTTTGCGGTAAATCGCGGCGCTCGCTGAGCTTGCCCTCGCTCCGATACGCGCGCAGCACATCACAGACGAAGACAGACCGCGCCACGAACGACGAGCCGACGAGGCGGAGGCACCGTTTGTCCCGGAGGGAGATTGCGCAACGCGCGCTGATCCTGAAAGCGGCTTGCGCGTGGACCACGCGAGCTTTCGAGGAGACAAAGCGCGCTGCTTGCAGAAACGCCAAATATTCCTGGTTAGCACTGCGACCCCTCCCTCCCCCGCACCCTTTCGTTTGCCATTTAGAGAGGTGTGTTCCAAAAGAACTTGAGGGGGGAGCGATCGATAATCCCCCCCCCCCCCCCCCCCCCCGCCTTTCCCCCCTTTCCAAACCTTTCAGACATTTCCAGAAGACAGTTCGGGCGAGAGGGAGGAAAATTCCCCCACGAATCTCTCGGACACTTCCAACGCCCCTGCTTGTTAGGAATCCTCGTTACGTTTCGGAGTATATATACTCTAACCTGTGGCGAAACACCGTTTTGGAAAGGTCGACGAACTATAGTTATGTTACAAGAATAAATGAAAATGTCTCGTCCTGTGTTCGTCCTTTTATAATTAAAAAGCTGTTTTTTCTTCTTTTTCTTTTTTTACACCATGCACATACATGTGTGCAGCATCTGTTCCGTTAATCCAATATTATTGGGTAGGTATTACGAGGAATATACGCATATATACTGCCGTCGAGCAAACATAGTTGCTGGTCATTCGCCAGCAGTATTGCTATTTTGTTGTATTCTTTTTGCCGCAAATAATTCCTGAACAACCGTAGTACTCTGGAAAGGCGATGGGGGATGATGAGGTCAAACGTCAGAGCGGTTGGGGTCTTGATAAGATCACGAGATGCAGTTTCCTGCCCTTCTCTCCAAACAACCTCAAACTGTGGAGAGAAAGGTCGGTGTAGGTCGAGGAGTGGTAAGTTAAGAAAATTTGAAGTATTTTTTCTGTTTCTTGACATTTATGCATTAACGCTCTGCTCCAAAGGAACGAAAGACAGTTGCTGGAGAAGATAGCGTTAAAGGGGCGGTGCAATGATATTCAATTAGAATGTTTTTTTGACTTTACACCAGCTTATTGGTACTGGAGGGGCTCAAGGATACTCGCACGCAACGCCACTGGCCAAAAAACTCCTTTCTTGCGCACTTTCGCAAAACTTGATGACGCAGCTGGGCGGTCACAGTACCACCCAGTGACAATATTTGAATGCGGCTCATAGATTGGACCCGAGCATTGGAATGGATGGGCACTCGATTTGGGCTCGCGATGATCGATAGCTCGAGAAGCATTCGGGCAGTGGCCCCTGTCCAATCGCTGCAGTTACGACAATAGCCGAACCATAAAAATGTTTGGAACTCAGCGCGTGTCCTGTGCCTTGCCAACCCCAGCGGGTGGCTATGATCAACATTGGCGGCATTTAATCGGCTTCAGATCACGTGGCCACTTGCTCTGGCTACGAGCTGAGGGGCTGAACGCTGCTCGTTTTTCTTTAATATTTTCTGCGACTTCGATTTCGTGTGGTGAAAAACGAACGGGTGTTTCACAGGTCATTAATGTCAGAGATCTGTCATAAACGGTATTTGAACAAAGTACAAAAATAGCTGCATCGCGCCTTTAAAATATCGGGGCTTCTTTCAGAGGCATGCGGTTCAGAGAATCTCGTTTTAGCGAGCGCCGTTTTACTAACCCAAGTTGATCGAATCGCTTCATAGAGAAGCTCAAAAGATCAGTTTAGATAAAATGGCGGTAAGCCTCCTTTTAGCGAATTCCGCCGCGGTTGACAGTCTTGTAATGAGCCGCGGCCGTAGAGTTATATAATATAATGTACGCTAGAGGTTCAACTGGCGCTATAGTCGGTGACAAGCCAAGAAGGTAAGAGTAGCTCCTCCCACAAGCGTGATGAGCCCGGTTCAAATCCCTCCGCAGTCGAAAGAATAGTTCACTGGAAACGCCCCTTGTCTCGCTTCAATGGACAGATATTGGCTAGAGAGTGATGCCAACTTGTCTCCGGCCCCCACGTTTTAAGAAAGCGACCTTTGTATTCATCGGAGAGGGAACCGAGCTCCTGAAAATAGCCTTTGTATCCATCGGAAAGGGAACCTAACCCCCGAAAGTCGTATTTGTTTCCATCGGATGGGGAAAACTCTAATTTCCCTCTCGTGGCTTCGACAACGCTAAGTAAAAGTCGAACGATGAGGCAAATATTTACAGGAAGGCAAGACGTCACGGAAACGATGGGACGCTATTGGATGCGGAGGTGGCGGAGGGATATATGAATCCCTTTGACGGGCATTTGCCGCTATCTTCTTGACCTGTAACTTGTTATAGTGGCCGCGTTGGCCGCGACGTCACGGAAACGATGGGACGCTATTGGATGCGGAGGTGGCGGAGGGATATATGAATCCCTTTGACGGGCATTTGTCGCTATCTTCTTGACCTGTAACTTGTTATAGTGCAGGCTCGTAGCCAGGGGGGGGGGGGGGGGCATGGGGCCCGCCCCCCCCCCTCCCCCCCCGAAATCTTCAATTTTGCTGGGGCCTCCTCTCCCCCTCCCCCTCATACAGCATTTTGTCATGGGCGGCCCCCCCCCCCCCCCCCCCCCCCCCGAAACAAAATCCTGGCTACGTGCCTGCTATAGTGGACTGTGGCAAATGCAAGCATACGGTAACCAGTCGGAAAGTGACTTCCGGTAATGCATTTCTATGGGAAAGGCGAGTGCATCTTCTCCCTGCGCTTGATTATAGGAGCAAATATCTCGAATAATTCGCACGTATTAGGTAGATTGGAACATTTCTCAGTCACGCAGACGAAACAATGGGACAGTTACGGCGTTTTTTTTTTAAATCCATGGCACTAAAAACGGTGCTAAAACGACTTCGTACATGTATTTATGTACACTGTCGGACACTGTTAGCGCGGACACGGCGTCGGCGCTTTCCAGCACGGGGGATGTATACGTGCTAAACGAAGGAAGGACATGTGGAAAACCAAGACAGATGGCAAGAACTACGCAAAAACACTGAATCAGCAACTTCCTGTGCGTGTAGACGATCAAAATAATTTGTTGGTCACGTAATATAGTCCGATTTGCAAGAAATAAGTACTGCTTTATTGTTTCTGCTCTGAACATGTGCGAAGACGCTCGAAATCTTCGAAAATAGAGAGAAGCCAAAGAACAGGTGCCCGATAAAAGCAAACTGCCCGACATAGAAAATAATAAAAATACACACCTTCCAT